GGTCTAAGGCTCTCGCACACCTTGGACGATTGCCAACTTATTCATGTTTGTTGTGAGGGTGGTGATGTATGGACCCGGGCGGTAAAACCAAGTTGGGGTAAATATCAGGTGATCGGAAAGTTCGGTGTAACTTAGTAAAGCGTTTTTTTGTCTCCGGAGATCCGAAAAAGGCAAACGATTATGTGCATGCATCTTAAAGTAGTGCAATACCGACGGGCCAGCTCACAGCACAAATAATCTCTGAGCTCCGATATACCTACAATCTCTGATAAATTTTGAAGCAGAATCCAATGCCGAGTAGAAAAGAGATGGAACGAGTTGTGTGATGAGGAGCATCAGCCAATTTTGTGGCCACTGACATTCTCATTTGCCTTCTCCTCTACAAAGTAAATTGGTTTTTTTCAACAGCCAATAGGCATCATTTTGAGCGACAAGGGTCTTCCCAAAAGTATTTATGAATTTGTCTTTCTATAAATCTTGCTGGAAAAAACCCAAAGCGTGTGCTCTCCTCCGCATGGCTCATAGCTCCGCCACTTTCCTCCCACTTTGAAGCCTCATATCAAGAATTTGTAGTCAACCGTTTTGTGAAGGTGCAGGAGCCGATCACACTGTCCAGGAGTTGGATAAAAGACGTCACTCTGGTAATTGCTCTCCCATAGTAGGATGCGTGACGGTTAGGCAAATCCCACCTCCTGGCTAGTAGCGATATGTGTGGTGCTGTCGATCAAAAAAAACTTTAGATTGGTGTGACAAGGTCTTTTTCTGGAAGCAATGCTTAACGTGACTAGTGTGAAAGGCGTTGGTGCGCATCCACATCAATTGGAAGGGTAGAACTGCGGAGGCTACTAATTGAGTGAGTCTAATCAAGGTGCCTTAATTAAAAACGCCTCGGAGCATTTTTGACTGTCCGCAGACTGGTTGAATGTCTGATAGACGGACAGAAATGGACTCAGCAATCCGCTTAATGTTTGCACCACTGCACCCTCCGGGTCACGCAACACTTCATCTTCTGTCCGTCGGCCTTACTTTGTAGGGCTCGTGAGCATTGGCCTCTGGTACGAAGCAAAAGCTGATAAAGAGAGTTCAGTCTAGGAGTCAGTGCATCTGGCTTTGTGCCAGCTCAGAAGAGAGTGAAAGACGAAGAAGCCGACAGATGAAAGGGCAAATTGCTCGTCAACGTCAACACTGTGCTTATGGTGGTATATCAACAAAAATGGTGAGCTTAAAAACCTTCTCCAATGCCACCGCGGTTGCAACAATCAAAACTGAACTTCGTAAACTACCGTGAGATCTCTGTGCTTGCAAGTCCGTGTAAGTTGGACTGCAGGGTGTAATTGGTCCTGTTTATCCCCCTTAACTGTGGGTCAAACAATTACACTTGAGACCTGCCTACTTGATACAATACACCCTGACAAAGCCTGAAGCACCCTCAGCCAAAATCACTCCGAACCAGTCGGGTAGTTTGTGGGAATCGCTGTTCTCATGGGACAGCCCAATATCCCACCACACAGTACGCTCTATGACTGGACAGTGAGAATGTTCGCAGTATAAGGTGAGATGCGTGAACAATATTGCCGCGTCCTCGTTCCCCTCATCATCTTTTTCAGCCTTCCCGTCCCCCGTCTTGCGATGGCGATTCCCAAGCCGCTGGTTGTCTCCTTTAGATTGTATTAACTTTAGATATTAGTGGGAATTCACACGAAATAGGCTGAAATGAGGGTGGCAAAAGTCATTTTATTTGCTTTTGAAGACAAATGGGATTCACAAATGTGCGCCTCCTTGTGACAAGTATGCATAATGCAATGCTACTTATTCCGCCATTTAAGTAGCCTCTAGTGGTCATTCTTCAATGCACGAACGACGAACAGTGTTGCAGATGTGTGTGAGCAACCCCACATGGGTAGAGGAAGACAACGTGATCGTTAAAATGACTCGCCAACAGCTGGAACCTTCCCTCAAAGTCAAGATTTTTGGAGGAAACTAGCAATCCCAGTGCCTCAAGGAGGCTAGTGCCTTCACAGCACGCCTTGTGTATACCACTTGAGGCCCTGAAACCAGCTCAACTTTTGTTCTCGTCATCATATTTATCGGCCTACTAAGGATGCCTACTAAATCTTGTCATTTAGAAGAGAACTAGTCAGTCAGACCTTCGAATGCCTACTGCCATTCAAAACTGACCTGCTCGGGATGCTGCCAATCAGCTCCAAGTTCAAAAGTTGGCATTCCAATAAAACAAACGTAAAAATTTGCTGAAATTATTGTTTGAAGTAGGTAACACAAGCTGTGTAAATAACTCACGCCTCCCTGGCACGCCATCACTACATGTCAGCGATTTGCGAAACGCAGCTGGAGAGCGAGTGACTCAGGAATAAGAGAACATTTTAAACAGTTGGCTGCTGCCATAATTTCCGCTTCATTCAGCTTCCATCTTAGGTCCAGTTTTGTAGGTGATGCAAGGTCGAATGGGGGAATTTCTGCCCTCCCTAAAGGGTGGGTAATCAGGGGCAATCGCACCTTTCGGCGGCTTTCTGCGCGCACTCACATATGCATCTGGCATTTATCCAGTTGACACCAACCTCCATGAAACATGAAGTAGTGATTAATGGGCAAGTAGGTCTTCCTGATCTGCGAATGGTCCCTTGCCTGTGTCAGTTACTTCCTCACCCCCCATCCAACCCTCCTTTATTCTGTACACCGATTTATCTCTATTTCTGATGCTTTCAAATCATTACGCAGTTACTGGTAATGCGTCTTAATATTTGCTTAATATCTTTATAACTAAGACTCCTATGAAGCAATTGCATCATAACCATACTTCAATTAACACAGTCGCCCCAAGCGTCACACATATGTGACGCCACGCGAGCAATAACATAGAGTGGTAGAAGACTTTATGCTAAAGTAGAATTATATTTTTTTAGAATTCAAGAGGCAAAATCTTAAGTGGATCATATTGTATAGGCTTTGAAGGTCGACTTTCGTCTAAGTTCATAGCAGAGAGCAAGACAATTTAAGTCTTCCAAAATGAAGACTATCAAGGACGAGGAAACTGAAGTCTCCGATAAAATCACCCAAATTTGTAATACAATCCCCCAGAAATAAACAAAGTTAAAAATAAAACTAGAAAAACCTTTTTTCTAAGTACCGAACTACGATGGTGTCGCCACATTCGCACAATGATTCATCGAACGCCTTCAAAGCGTACAGTTGAGAGCGATGAATGCTTCACAGTGCAGCACCTCAAAATTTTCGGATTTTACCACCTGTTAACTGAAGTGTGGAGACGTACCAGGTCAATAAATAACAAGTTTCTTTCAATATTTTCCCACCATTACAAATCAGTCGGACGTCTGAAGTATCCAGCATTTGTCAAGGCAGCACAAAATACCTCCACGCTGTTCAATTCACACACGGACGGAGAAAACCGACGCAGGTGCACTTTTATTCCTAATCAACTTTGCCACCCAATGGGTTCCGCATTCTTGCATTCTGGGATGGGCATTTTCGAGCCTCTCGACTGTCGGTGAGGGAAAGCCTTGCATCCGTACCGAATATACCTGCCGATGGAGACTAATTCAACCAGTGATAATTAATGAACGCTGTTTATCTTCGACTTTGAAATAGAGAAATAGTCATCTGGTTTACAAGAAAAGTATTTTTGACGCAGTGGTATCCACTGGACTTGAGTTCGCGTTCAACCTACCGCTTGGTCCCTAGTCTACTATTAAGTTGAAAGTAGTACCTTTTGCAAAAGTACTCTTGCATATTATTGCAAATAATATAGCAGAAGTTATAAGTTTCACGCACCACCTGCGTGACATTTAAAGCGTTTGTAAAGTGGATCCTGCTTCGCATGTATTGAGTCTCAAGTACATCACGCACCAAGTGACCGCATGCCTCCGCATGTGTGGAATTAGGACCTCAACATCTCATGACGGCGACGTTGGAACAACCTCGGCCAGCGCCTGATTCACCCTCGCATCCACGCGTTGGACGCATTAAACGCGGAACTCGCCGTAAGTTTCGCAGGCCACAGGTCGGAGTTGTGGTCTTCATGGGGTGAGGTGGGGCATTGTCAGTGTGGACAGCTGAAGGTGGAGGGAGAAGATGAAGAGTTCCATAGTGCTTATACATTCACCACATCTACTGCACAATTCTTCGAACCAAGCAGTGAGAAGCGTGCAGTTGAGACGTGCAATCCAACGTTAAATACACCCCAAGTGAGCAGTTCATGGTATCGTGAAATACTGGGCTCGGAAGTGAAGGAGGAAACTTGGTCTCTTCCACCGTGATTCCAATTTGGCACATAAGGATTGGCCAATGTGAAAGACGCTTGGTATCTTGGTGTCTCAGAGATGTCATCCTTCCTTATTTGCATGCCCTCTACCGTTTGTACGGCCACGTCTACACACCCACATTCACTAAGTGATTGGAACAGTCATTGCAGTGGTTTACATGGAATAGGAATGACGATTTACCATGCTACAGTTAGCAGCAGATATCGATAGGAAAGGACCGCTTTCTATTGAGTAAAGAAGAAATTATCGTGTGCTGTTAAACTTCTCATTGTTTGACGTTGGCTGATCCTCCGTCCGCAATTCAACAACCCGCTACGCTTTGTAGTTTGTGGTCATTCTGGAGGAATCCATTCTGGATTTCTTAGAATGTGTTAGAACTGAATGCATGAGAGATCCATTGACTCTATCAAAAGCCAAAAAAGTTGTCCCAATGCCCCTCTCCCCGATTGTGATTGAGTAATGGAAGAGAAGGAGGTTCCTTGGCTAGAGAATGACCCATCTGAGAAGTAATTTTTTTTCTTCCTAAGTCAATCAAGAAGAAACCTGCACAGAAATAGAAAGTGACTTCATTGTTTTTATTGGCACTTCCAAACCAATCTTCACAGCCTCCCAGTCTTTTACTATACCTACTCATGAGCCCACATCGCAATTGCAAGGGTGAGGGAAAAACTTGTCCCGATCAGGGCAAGTCAAGGTAAAGGACTATTTGTACTGCTCGTGTGGATCTTGCAGGCGCTCACGACGTCTCAGTAGAGAGGCCTCGGTCTCCTCGCGTATGTCGCGCACTAGGCTACGCACCCGACGTGCCAACACAGGCACCGATGACGGGTCCGCTGGCGCACCGAGTGGCAACAACGGTGGTTGCGACTGCGGTGGCTGTGATGGAGACGAGAGGAAACGCAAATGAGAGGCGTCCATGGAGGAGGATACAGAGGAGTTCCCACCTGAATCACACGGCAAGGACGGTGCGCTTTCGCCTCCCATCGGTGTTGACAGTGGCATTCGGCCTCGCAATGGTGTTTGTTTACGAGCTAGTGAGTAAGTACATGCAGGGCGTTTAAAAGTAACACAGTTCGGTAAGGCTTAAAGAGGGAGGAAATGAAGTACTCACTTTCACGGGGTCGCCTTCGCTGCAGTTCATTTTCCAGAAGGGTGATGATTTTTTCTTGGTTGCGAACAGTCCTTTCCAATTGACGACACCTCTCCAATCTCCCATCCACCTAAGATGCAAGAAAAGTAATAGATCTGCACAGCTTTTAAGGGCTTATTTTTCTCATTATGCTATTTGTTGGCACCTTTGCTACGGGGGCCTCAGAAATTTAAGCCGATCACCCGGGCAGAAATGTTTACTGTCCCAGTATGACATAATTTTGAAATTTTATTGTCTTCAACCCACTTAATCTGTCTGAGCCGCGAGCTCCTGCAACAAGTTGCCGTAAGCTGACTGAAGCTGGTGACACTCATTTATAACGCCGAGGTTAGCTGTGGAAGTCAGGACGTCACATATCCGTGACGTTGGTGTAGAATACATTACTGTTTTACATTCATGTATTCATCCTCGCTTGTTTCAACTAGCGTTCCTATCATGCATTTTGTATGCAAGCAAAGAGTGAGATAAATAGACGATCCCAATTGCACCCTATCTCAGCCTCTAATGAGTAAGTACCCAATGATTTACTTCGGCGATTGGCTCCTCCAAATGAGGCAGTTCCTTCTATTACCTGAGCTTCCATTTGAGTAGTCGAAATAGAGATGATATTTGGCAGACCAGAAGCCGAATATACATATGGAAAGAATATTATACGTTACTCACACTGGTCAAGGCTCTCGGTCTAGCAGGGACTCGGGGTGGTGCGGAGGAGGAAGAAGTCGTCGGGAATCGATTGCCTGGAAATCGGAGAAGGCTCTCCTTCAACCTCTTTTATTGACTAATATGCATTACAACACAACATTTACATGCCATTAAAGTGGATTAGAGGAGGGTGAAGACGGAAATTATGCAACGACCTTCAGCTCCAATGAAATGAAATGACATGGGGCTTACCGGCTTAGTCAAGAATTCAATCATTAATCATTTGGCACCTGTGAGGTGACATTGCATTAGAACCAACTGATCGTTACTATGGCAAACTCACTTTGTTAGCAAAAGTAACTGCTACACTAAGTCACAGTGTTCGTCAATTTGCGGGAAATTCCCTAAAAGACACTTAACCAAATATTTGTGAACTTATTTTCGGCATTTTTAATCACTACAGGACTCACCTCGTGGTGGTCGTTGTGAAGCTAACGGGACGCCGTTTTCGGACTGGGTGTGGCGTGGGGAAACGCACTTCACCCGACACAGCATTGGAATCACCTCAAAGCGCTCACTCGGTGGCGGCTGAATCCAAAAGTTGTTGTCACGTACCTGCGCCAAAAGAGTAGGGCAAATCAACACAGAGATCTCGCTCAGAAGCGCTTATATTTAAGTGTTCTTCAAACACGCATTGGAAACGATCAAGATTGATCTGTCACCGTGATTTTCGTATGATAAAGTGATGCTCTTGTGAAGCCTGGAATTATCCCCTTTTCTTTTATCCAAATTTTGTCAGTAATCAAACAATTGCAGTGCTTTGTTAGCTTGTGTATCTCTGCTTTCGGTTACACGGACAACTAAGTCTCCACAGACTGCAGTTCTGCCTGGGCCATGCCAGTATGCTCAGCCCTTCAGGAAGTCTCCGGGTGCTAAACACTAACTTGGTGCTGGAATCAGCGACTGGATTTGAAACTTATCTAAATAAGGCAGTTTATAAAATTTTGGGGATGTGTATTTAAAAAAAACGACTTTTTGAACGCATGGCCTTCTGTTAGTGTTGTAGAAGCACCAGTTGAATTGCGCTCAAGTCAGTACCTGGTCGTGGGTGATGAGTTGACCCCAATTTTTCGCTGACGAAGCATTCATCGAAGGCGATTTGAGAGGACCTCTAAAACTCCCGACCACTTCACTTGAACCATAACTATACTCGGAGGTATCATCTTGTGAAAGCTGTAAAGGCAAGGTAGTTTACTTTAAGAAATGCACATCACCTTGAAGGCATTTCTCAGGAAACTCTAGAATGCCTTGGAAAGGCTAAGAACATCGTGATAACGATTGCGAGCTACAAAACCAATGTAGTCCAACTCTAGTCGTTGATTAAACTTGATACAGAAGAAACTGTGGCCTCTGAAGTAAATAAATCTCCCCACACCACGCGAAAAACGTAGCGGGGAAGATAGTTTGAAGGGAATAAATATTCCCCATAAAGTCCAAGCCCACCAAGAAGAAATTTGTATCGCAAAGACAAGTATTATCAAACCTCGCCTAAGAACGAACTGTCAAAGGCGGGGTACTTTATGAAAATTGGGGCGTCCAATTGGGGACGGCAGATATGTAACAGCGCTCCACTTTTGTTTACACTTATCGTAAAAATGCAAAAACACGTGGACCAGAGTGTACGTTTTTTTTTTATGAGAATGCTATTCAGCCCCGTTTGCAAGGATATCGCTAGTTAGTACAACGCCAGTGGGGTAGAAAGTTCGAAACCTACAGGTAAAGGAGATCGCAAGGTCAACGAGGCGAATAGGATCAAGGCTGTCAACGACGAGGCAGAGTACATGAACGCATAACCAGGATTTTTAGACTTGTATGGAAATGCTGAAAAGTGGTATTAATAATTTTAAAATGCAGGGCTTGAAAACACCAGTTTTTGAACAGTTGTAAGCCTGAATGCACCAATGTCTAAAGTTTGAGTAAAAAGTCATTAGCATGAATAAAATCGTTCCTTGATAACTTTGAGTTTCTGCTATAGGTTGTGGTGTGGACTCCACTTACTCCTTTAAAAGAGCAAGAAGGTTAAAATCAGTACGAGAAACCAAGTTGAATTGTACAGACACTCACCCACCTTATTCGTTTTGCTTACGATCGACAAATATTTATATGCAAACATATACACCTCTAAACACACGGTTAAGTACTTTTTACTACAAGACCAACTTAATGTCTAAAGTTAAACTCCGTATTATGGGTAGTTGACTTTGACCATTTATTTAGCAAGGAAAGTTCAAAAGGAATTTACTCTGCGACATTTTCGAGTTAGTACGATCAGTTTGTCAACTTTAATACAAAAGCGACCGGTTCACAGTCCATATATTAAAATAGAGGAGAGGTTCTTATTTGGGTAGTCCATGAAACCCATTTTAATTAACATAATCCAAACAAACCGAATACGTACACCTAGATTCTGAATGTATAACGTTTTCCCTCAAAAGGCAATGACATTAATTTAACACTTGAGGCGTAGTACACCGCCTTTGGGTAAAACCTAACTCTCAGAAAATTGCGGCAGAGATTTAGGAACTAGCAGAGAAAACACAACTTCAACCCTAAATCACCCGGACTTACTTCAACGCTCTCCGATCTGAAGTAGAAGGCATTCATCCCATCGACGATTCAGTGTTCCTGTTCGTGTCCGTGTGTGTGAGAGAGCGAGAGAGAGAGAGTGGATGGTGGACGTACGAAGTGGCAGTCAGAGGGCAGGCTGTAAAAACCATCTTCTAAGTATCACCTTGGCAACCATTATTCCGCATTGGTGAGAGAGGCAAGTGGGCGTTCATGCAAGCAGTTCTGAGCGCTCCTGTATGCATGGCCCCATGTGCTGCATCTCCCATGGGGTGGATTTTAGCAAGCCCATTGAGTCGGTTGGTCCGTACAATCCCTCTCAATGTCCTTTGAACTCCTGTCCACGTGCTTTGGACCTTCTTATCATAACTTGGTGGCTAAAACGAGTGAATGTGACTCCAGGTTGTCTGCTTTACTGCCCTAGTTCAGCATGGATCCAAAGTTGCGCTGTGGGTGGAGGACTGTGGAGGGTGTTTGTCGCCAATGCAATAAGCTGTTAAAAAGTGCTGCTAGCGATGGCGGTTGAGCTACACTAGCACAGCGAAACGGGCGGCTAGGAAGAGGTTGCAAATATGACCATTTTACCACTTAAATCTGGCGGTGGTGATGTCTACAATCCCGGCAAGCCGTCCTATTTCGATAGTCTAGGCGGTTCCTCTTTCACGCCTAAGTCTGCAACGTTTAGGACCTCGTGCTTGTGTTTGTTGCCTCCTGCTTGGCCAGTATCACGTGCAGACAAGCGGGTAGGCAGACAGATGGCTTTGACACGTGCTAACACAGAGTGTGAGGTCAGAATGACAAATAAATAAAGTGATGGTGGCAACTAGTCTTCTAATCCAGCAGTCAACATTGAAGCGCTCCGTAATGAGTACTGAAATCTTGATGTTTTGGCTACTATCGTGGGGATGGCATCCTGCCAGTGCCAGACCTACGATCCGAGTAATATGTAAAGCCTCGTGTTTGTGTTGAACAAAACGCCTTTGTACCTCCGCCAGTAGCCCACAATCCCCCACCCCACTCTACGAGTCTCTTCTGCACGTCGGCAATACACTTTACATCTTGGCATTTTATGTATCCTTTCGTCTTCAGAAAGTTCATGGGGCGCTATTGGACCCCTTCTCCCCTCCCCCTTGATCGTTTGGTTGGCTCTGCAAATCGAGGTAGTTATTTGGAGATCTCTTCAAAGTATGTTGCATTTAGACTTCTAGACATCATGTGGCAGGGTAAGCTCACGTGGTAGTTGGTAAGCCGACCCGCAAAGTGCGTGTGACTGTTTATGTGCAGTGCGTTGTTACGGCTGAGGCTGCGGCCCCGTCTCACCGGCTTATTCTCACAATGAGGCGAGGAATACGGATCCGGATGGCATACGAGTCGAGCACGGAATCAGGCTCATTATGATTGGTCAGGTGGAGGGGAGGGGGGCCTACTCCCAAGGGGACGCAGCAGGCACTGCAATGCTTGATTTAACATTTTATTTTAGTTACGCGGGCATAGAAGGGTCTCTAACCAATGCAGGTAGTCCTTCAGCCCGTCTGTACTTCGGTAATATACTTTCTGTCCTTGCATTATACCTCCTTTTGCCTTCAGGAAGGACTCTGAGAGATACATGGGTAGCAGGGGAAAACGAACTGGATTCCAAAGGGCAACTACCCTGATTCCATTTTTTGGAGGGTGGTGAATCTGCAATGACCCATAGCAGAGGGGTTGGGAATGACGTCTGCCTTTGGCAATTACCCCACTTCCACGTGCCGCAGGAATAATATTCACGCCTAAAGCTACTCCAGCCGTGGCCGTGAGCCACCTGGGAGCGTTCATTGCAGAGCGGCCAACGCTCTCTGCACAAAGATTTCAATTAAGTGAACACGCAATGCCTCCTTCACCAGCTGGATGGAAACCGTCTGGATGGGGTCGGACTGCACTGAAGTGAGAAAAAAGTAGCAAGGCGGAACGGATGCAAAATCTTATCCCTATGGAACTACTTTGAATCCCGTACATTGTTGAATGACTCCGCTTGTCGGCCAATGTCCCTACGACTAGGGGTGGACACACACGCTGTCCTGCACATTCCCCCTTCTTCTAATGCAGTTTTCAAGTAGGATAAAATTCCAGATGCAGTGGAATTGCCAAGAGGGCTCGGTGACGGTGCAGTCAAATACCGTCCCATTTGCGTAAAAATTCAATGAATGGCATGACTGGTTCGTGGATGTTGTCCCATCGTTGTGATGGCCGACGCGGAACGTTAACGAAGGCGGGCGCCCAAGGACGTCGCTCGAAAGGGGACAGGGGGACTATGGAGTGCCTCAATTGTGTGTTTAACTCGCCGTTTTGGTTATAGGAACGATTAAGACTCCACTTCTACACTTCCACTGGGCGGAATGGTCTTCAGACCATGGCGGTAATCCTTCAGACCTTCCTTTGACTTCAGGGATATTTCGAGGTGCTGAACAATATCTGCCAAGCCACAACCGTCCGGTAATGCAAGGACGCGACCACTGGTGACCGTATGACTGTCGTTCAGGAATGAAAGCAATGCTGATTTGAAAAACACCAACAGGAGTGCTGGGCGTGAAGCTCTGTACGACTTTCTCCTCGGTTTGAACTCCCATCAGAGGTCTGTTGAATCTGATGGATGTGATGCAAATGTCTTCTGCTCCGCGGAATGCATTTAACTCGCTTCCAGCATTACAGAAGCCTCATCGTTAAATTTTTTGCATTGCAGTGAAAGGAAGCGTGGTGTGAAAGTTTGATATTCAAGTGGTGGATGACTCAATGATGCTTCACAGTCAGAAGGACTTCCACTTCATTGAGGCGAAGGCTTGCGTGCTGCTACGGGCACGTGAATTGGAGATCAGTGTGTGTCGGGAAAATTCGACACTGGTTGATGAATCAGACCGTTCACCCACTAACACCGAAGAGAGGCGTGGAAGGTGGCAGGTGAATGAATCCCAGGTGACAATTAAGTTGGCAGACTACCAATTCGTCCTTCAACCCCTCCAGACCGCCTACCTGTGAGGAGAAATGGGTTTCGTGTTCCGCAGCTAAGCGGACGACCGTTTTTACACTACCACACACCTCCAAGGCGAGACAATGCCGTGGAGAGAATCATTTGTCTCCTGAAAGCCAAACGATCACGACCAGGATCCATCCATGCGATACAACAGGCATCGAAGGCGGGGGAGAAGCATTTCCACCTCACTTTCACGAGCAGAGAGGATTAGTTAATGAAAACAAGGAGAACCAGGAGAGGATCTTGTACCGTCACAAACCCTACCTGTGAGAAGGCCTGCATTTTAGAATGGATCAAGAGGGAAATACTCCTTCACTCCATCCTCATCCTTCACATCGCCTTGACGATATTTTCCCAAGCTTTAGGGGCCCATCGAATTGCCTTGGTATTCGAAGTTGGCGATCAAAGTGGAATAGATAGTTGGAAAGTAGAGGTGAGGTAGAAATGGAAGTGGCTGAAGCTGTGACGAGGAGTTCGATGGGAGTAGAGACTAATGTATCCTTCGGGGGGGACTGGAACTTATAGCCGTATTCTACTAGGAGATATGCCTGCTGGCTGGATGCCATTCAGCAGTGGAACAAACTTCAGGAGAAGAAACGGTTCCAGGTCATAGAAAGGCAGCATAGCCGTTATTCCGGCGAATGACAGAGGTGTAGATGGGGTCTCTCGAAGGGTGCTGTTGAGATGTTCATTCCACTATTGAGCTAGAGGTAGAACGATCCCCCCACCAGAGCTGGATCTACCAGCTTTCCAAAATCCAGACTCCACCACCAAGCGGAAGCAATAGATTTTAAGCTTCAAGGAATACCAAAGCACCACTTCTACCGCCATTCTTCTGAATTATGTGCGACACAACTACAGTGACTCTGGAATGGACCATCCAAGTAGTCAACGTCTGAGTGTAGTCACGTTCAGCAGGAACCGCGCCGCACTCAACACCACCGTGGCAAAAAGCAGACGTGGACTCTGGAACAGCTCCGCGCCATCATGATAATCACATGGAGCCACTCAACGTGGAGGTGATTCTTTAGAACGCTGTGGCTATGGTTAGGTGGGAGCGGATAACACCTAAATGTGACGAGAAGACTTAACCCACCTACACTCACCTGCGTTGCTCTTCATCTTGATAGAATTTTGGTGTAGCGACAGACCCTCCCGCACTACACACTTGGAGTGGTGAAAAGCGTGATTCACACCCCAATTTAAATAACTGGATGAAGAGGCACGCAGCCTTGAGACGCGAACAACAAAATCCACTTAACACTGAAGAAGATCGATGGTACAAGGTGAGTGTATTATACAAGGTTGGCCACAAATAGGCGAAAAGCGCAAGTCAGGAGAGGGGGGATGGATGGGGAGGACAGCTAACACGAGAACTGGTTGCGACTGTCAACAATACCTCTCTAGAGGATGGACTAACACCGTAGTAGTGAAGGCAGCAACAGTAGAGCAAACAAACCAACAAACCAATCAACGAGAATAAACACACTCACATTTCCACGCAGATTTGGCAAGAGACACCCGACAGGCCACGACCCAAATTGGGGAATAAGTACAAGACGCAGAGAGGACCTCGTCGGTGCACATCACACCACCAGCACATAGGTAGGACAGTGGAGGGGAGCCTGCATGCGCTAGCGGTGGGGCCTCCTTATAGACCAAGGAGAACCGTGCACAAGCACTGCGACCAACTGGGGTAGACAATCATAAACAAGCGGATGGGCCAAATTTTTGACAACTGGGTGACCCTTATAGGTTTCACACACGCACACACACAAACACTCACACACAAGTACACACATTTCACAATCACGCAGGCAATGTTGATTTTCTACTGCCGCTACTACCACCGAAGCAGGTGTGCCATCCCCAGAGAAGTAAGTGCCAATCAGGGGGTGGAGGGAGGTAGTGGGACTAATCTGGAGCGAAAGCGATCTGAGGAATGCTGCCCGAAGCGTGCATTGCCCGAAAACCAGCCAAAGCGGTTTCAAACTGCCATCCAAATTCCTGGAGACACTGACGGCAGTAGGCAGAATTCATGCCAGTTTGACGACGGAACTCCACCACTGCTGCCTCTTCATTAGTGCCAGGAGCAGTGGAAACAACGGGCGCTTGAGGAACAACAGCCGGCTGTGCCCTAGCTTTGGCCTCAGCTTCAGCTTTTGCCTGTTTTTTGACTTCGCGGATGTAGCGCTACAAGTAAAAGGAAAACTATAAGGGGATAATTAGGCAATCGAATTGAACACCCGAACGAAAAAAAAGTAGTCACCTGAATAAGAGGTTCCGTGGGGTTCGAGATGATTATACTGTCTTGAAGAATTTGTGTGCCTGGTGCAATAAGAATCATTGACCGTGCAAAGCAACGCAGCACTTTTCGTATTGGAGCATTTGCACCAAAAGGTGTCTTATTCTCGTAGAAGACGCCTGTCACATTGAAAATTATTTGGTTCTCCTGAAAACGAACTAACTTCGTTAAATTAAACTGCGACGCAAAAAAAAGGGCGGTTTCACTTTGTAAACCCACAGAATGGTTAATCACGTCGACGCAGAAGGACTCAAGGATGTGTTCCGTGGCAGGCAACTTCCCCAACGCTGAGGCAATGTTAAGAGGACCTTGGCAAATAAACTCGTGGCGTTTATTCTCATCCTTGCAACGCATCAGATTGCGATTCTGCTTGTAGTAGGCATCATCCAGATTGTTCGTGAGAAGCTGAGTCTTCTGATTCGGAGTACCTCCTGAGTCCAAAGTTTCAAAAACGCTCTTTCCAGTGGACTGAGAGGCAGGATTCACGCAAATTGTCAGAGTTGAAGCCGGTGTATAATAAGAGTAGATGCCTTCGCCGCGTTGTGGCGCATCGTAACGACCAAAGTATCTGCAGACGAAAGGCAGCGAGAGAATAAAGAAATCACATCAACATTTTATGACCAACGCAATAGTGAAATGGAAACCTACTCCATTAGAAAGGTGAGTAGTGGCACCCGGATCTCTTCGCTTCCGAAATGACCCTGAATTGATGGTGGAAGGCGGATTCTAGGAGGGCAGCTGGTTTCAGGAGCGTTAGAACCCTGCTCTATGGCAAACCGAACCGTCACCTTGATTGGATTGCCATTCTGCAAGTGGAGAAAGGAATCATCAAAGCCAATGTCCCGTATTTAAACGGTTATACAAAAAACTTACCAGCGTCTTCAATCCGGGAAGAATCCGCACGATTTGCCTGTCCGGAAATGCAGAGCAAGGTAAGGAATGAAGTAAGACACGCAATGCAATTCACGCATTAACAACTGCAGAACGAACAATGGGGCTCCAACAGCTCCTATGTGTATGACCTTCGGAGTCTCGAAAATAATTTTCTTAAAGGCAAACTGTTAGAAGACAGCAAGGTAAGCGAAAACAAAAAGTTGTAAGACTTATATTACACCTTACTAGGCGAGAGGAGCTGTTCGACAAACTCCATGCCTCCGTCAATCCGTCCCTCCCCGAGAAGGCAAAGACCCCGACTCCTCATAAGACCTGCACATCTCAATATAACCCTCATCTCAACAATACACTCCCTTACAATCTTCTCCACAAAAAGGCTTGAAACTGGGTCTTGAGAGAACGGCGAAGACTACATAGAAGCATCCCATTTAACCCACCTTGCCTCCTACTCCTATTTACTCCAAGACTTAAACAACAAAAACACCAAAAACGATCCTAAGCGGGCTAAAAAAGGTAAAACCGTGTCAAGAGACTCACGATTCGATAATTTTGCCGCTATTTGGGTTAGATAAACGACCCGCTATTGGTGTATCTGACAAATCAAGGTGACAGATTCCAGGAACAGCCTTTAGCGCTTCAAGATTCCGCGAAGTGTTTATGTGATTCCCACTCAGATCTATGCGCTCGAAGGAGTACGTCGGTGGTCCCAGCACCTTACACATATCCTCAAACGGTTGCACATGATTCAGTCGATTGTTCGACAAATTCAACGCAGACAGCTACAGGAGAAAGAAGCGAATAATTTCAATTGAAATCATCAGGCGTCACAAGTCACTAGCTTCTGAGAGCGCGCATACGAGTTAGGTTTGAGATGTTTGCACCATTCCTACCTCCAAACGCTTTTCAGAGGCTGATATAGTGCCATTGATCTTGCTGGACTGTGCGCTACTGAAAGCCACAAATACAATCAAGTATAAAAATCCAGCTAATATACAATACCAGAACCCGAGAGCTTCAATTGGCATCCCTTTAATTTTACTAGTGTACAATGGAGAATTGTAGTGAGGTTGGATTCAACACGGGCAGGTTTTAATGTTGGCACCTTTTGAACCCTCATACTACAAATGGGGGCTTCAGACGGAGCCCGTTTCAATTTAGCTGGAGTGTACAGCCGACTGTTACCACAACAACCGATGTCAAACCCAGCACATTACTCTTTGAAAAAACCGGAAGACTCACTTTAGCATCATTTTCCTGAAGAATAGCAATAAATGACGAAAACACAATCGTCTTGTTCAGAGGTATGAAGTACCCTTTACTGAGAAGAGTAAGATCGGTATGAAGACTGGAGAGGTCGAGAACATTAGTGGTAGCTTGAAAGCGCTCTTTAAAGCACTCGCGCAAAGCAGCCATCCAAGCCTCCGGCAAAAGCGCCCCTGTGACACCATTATTCGCATTGGTTGATGCAAGTGGAACCTCGGGTTCGCTGCAAGATTTTATATCACACACGATGGGAGCGCCAGTGACCGGGTTGATAATGCTCTTGATGGCTTTGCAATAGTCTCCAAGCTAAATAAGCATAAAATAAAGTAAAGATGTGGACCCTGTAGTTGTGTACACACTACTAACAAAGGCGTTTCATTTAACATCATTATCCACACCTCGCAGTAAACCTGTGAGGCTCTACCTGATGTCCTGATAATATTGTTCTTTAACTAAACAGTACCAGTACCGCGCAGTAGTTGGGTTAAAGTTTATCACTTTCGCACAGCACCGACACTCCGCAGGCGAAAAGCAGACAGAGCTCTAAGCTGTGCAACAATAATACGCGTATCCGCATGCACTGTTTAAAATGTCTTACCTTTTTAGACCGGATTTTGAAGAAGAACGTGCAGTTTTCCCCTTTCATTATGAGATTGTAAATTCGAACTGTGGTTTCAATTGCGGCACTAAAACTTTCTTTGAGAAAATCAATAGACATTGACGCCCCATTTGCGATGTTTGCACGAACCCAAACCTCGCCTTGGGGGGATACGTAGGTACGAGAATATGAGGAACTTGGAGGAAGGTCACCAACCACAACTCTTCGCACCACTTCAGGACTAATATTTGACTGTGGCTGGTTACGATGCCCGTGCTTCCCCGAATGCCAGTCATTGCGGAACCGTGGATAGCGATTGGGGATATCGTCGTTATCAAGATCGGCATAGTCACCTAGTATTCGGGGAAGAAAACTGGATAAAGCAATTTATTGCGTAAATTATCAACGGGTGAAAAACCAACACGTTCCCAAAGAGGAACTGCTGCGGTAAAAGTGATCGCCTGGCGCACTAATCAGTGGTAATAGGGTACCTGTTCACGATGTGGCTACCACAAACTCAATCAGAACAAGTTAGTGAGTGCGTAACGCAAGCCAACCTAGTAATCAAATCGATGCTGTGGCACATAAAATTGTTCTAAAACCAATTACCCTTCCGATAGGTGTACATCCTATTCCGATTCTTCGCGTAGTTCAACCTGGGCATGACGTCCTTTCAATGACCCGCGAAATGTGCAGCAAAACAATGTGGCAAGGCCATTTTCTGTAAAAAATACAAACAAATGAATATAAATTACATTTTTACAAATTTTGCACTTAAATTGTAAAATGCAAATGCCATGTGTTTGTCCAATTTTTTGCTTTAATGTACATGGGGTTTGAATTTATGACCAGATAACTTTGGTAGACTGCTCAGTTTTATCCAGGGCACTTTTGACTCTTCACCTGCCTTTTGTGAATAGAACAATTTTCAACAATAACAAAATTATGTTGAGCGAGACTCATTTTGATTTTCATGTTGCTTTTAAGCAGTCCACGTCCTGATGAAAGTATGGCCCACCTACAAATACCCTATGCTTTTATAAAATTTACAACTTGAAACTGCAGTGAGATAAGGGTCTGCTGACAATGAATGTAGATATAATACTATATATATTACGCATTGGAAATTAACAGGTTTGAGGAACTACCTGTTTGGTCCAGAGACCGTTCTCCCCAGAGGAAGTACAATCATGAAGCTCCAGATAGGCTATCACCAAAGTCGAGAGTTATACAATCAACATTTAAACTACTACAGTAACAACTGCCATTCCTTTCATTGACCCTCGCTTTTAACGCTATATTCACAGAGACCGGTGGGTGAGAAGCGTAAAGTCTCCTCATTTTACTCTTGATATTATTACAAGTCGATGTGCTGTTGAAGAGCGCACATTATTGGCGTACAGAAAAATTAAGCGATGGCCATATCGCATATCAGAGCAAGGATACAACCTCTGTGTACTGGAGTGCCCGCATTGTTCAGTTCGTGGATAAAAAGATGTCTGATCACTTAAATAAGGTGTTTTTAGGACGTATATTGTAATGAGACTCTCAGATTTTATAAAGGTAGAGGGAGAGGTATCGTCGCCGCAATTATGAGGCGCATTGACGTGGACGGCTGATGACGTAGTCACGTGTGGCAATGAACCCCTGCACATTGCTTTGATAGTTAAATTCTGTGCTTGATTTGGCGATCAGTTCATACTTCTGCTCAGCGACTTTGGAGCCCTTCCTAAGTCAGTACTATACTTTCTGTGTTACTACTGTGACGCCTTACAATGTAGGCGGTGACCCAGGACGCAGCAAAGGTAGTAGCCATGCATTTCCTTTCATTACATACCCATAATGAAATGCATGACATTAGTTTCTTTTCTTTGTAACTTTTGGCCTTGAGACCGCTACGGTGACAGCTACAATCTGTCTCAAGTCAGTAGTTTCAGAAGTTCCTCCCCCAAGTAACTCATTTAATCGAAGTGGCATTCGCAACCCACTTGATGGCGTTGACTTGTTTCCTACATAAACACGTCTCAGTAAAAGGCGGCTGACAATCACCAAAGCATTCGACCAGTCTGAATCCAGTCTGGAGGACCAGTAGTCAGTGCTGACGCCAGCAGTGTCACTTCTCACTTCATGAAGATTCGTTCAAACCCTAGATGTACATCCCAGTCACTGCAACAGGACAGCTACCCTCACCATCCTGATTCTTTTCTACTGATTTTGCCTTGCCAACTCCTCTGTTCGGGATCAGACGTTTGGAAATCCGTCTACGACAGTCATCTAACATTTTCTTCAAGACGATTGCTACCACCGTAGTGTGTTATCCTTCTACATTCTTATACAGTCGTGGGGTCAATAATATATGCTACGTAACCGGTTGCACCGTATCGCGTAGCAAATATACCGGTTGGGCATGAAGCAAAAACAAAGTAGATGAAGCATTTCCTCGGTCTGATGATAAATAATTTGTTTCATAGTTTTGAGCAGCAGCAGCTGGCAGTGGAGAGTTCAGTAGCGCCAATTTTGGTTCCGCATTAGAGCAATGAGTAGTCCAACTTGTGGTTCTCCACGATTCGGCGACCAGGCTGACGAACGCACCATAGCACATGCTCCAGGAGGTATTTGAAGAATGGAAAAGGATGTTAAGCCTCCAGAAGTGAAGGATGCCGGGGAAGAATTGCCTACTCACTTCGTGATGTTCACAGTCCAACGCACCACCCGAAGCCGTTTGATTCGCTGAGATTTTGCCAGCTCGTAGGGTACTTCGCCTTTTGAAAAAGCCAAGTCCAGAAGGACGAAATTGCTTGGAAAATCGAAATGATTAAGAGTTGTGGTGGAGAGACTTCCTTGTTGCGCCATGTTCAGACTCGCCTCCCCACTCGTTGTCATCATCAAAGCAATTTCAGCTGCAACCTATTGACGGATGCTTCTTACTTCTTTCGCTGAGCAAAGAACAGTCCAAGAATTGTAGAGGTGGTATCTCGAAATCCATATAGGCTTCCACAGTTAGTTCCTATCGCAACAGTTCTCTTTTGCCTCCGGCTTCAGAGCCATGAATCGAGAAGGCTGAGTAGAGGACACCCTTTATTTGGGTGGAATGGGGAGAGTTCACAAACGATCGAAAGTTGTGGAGAATCAGACTTCGTTTCCGACTTGAGAAGAAGCGTCGTCCACTCAGCCCCGAGTTTGGTGTCAAGTGACCGCTTACCACCTCAAGGTATCAGTCTCAGCACTCACCCAGTCTAGAGGAAAAACTTATCAGGAGCATGCGAGAGCCCCTTCCCAGATATCTCAAGCAGTGCAACTTCACGAATAAATAGGGGAATAAACTTTAGCTGTCTGACTATCCAAGTTATCTCCAGGACCTCCCAAAGCTTGCTCATGGAATATCTTCCTTTAGTTGAGGATGCCTGCAACCCCATAATAACGTCACGGTTTGATTTTGCAGGACTTTTCATTTCTGTGAGTAACTTCCGAACATGCTGGAAATTGTACCCTCACTCCCTTCTGATTTGCTGGAACTTCGGTCAAACATACCAGTGCTAAGGTCAATCCGCCACAGTAAATGTGCACGACTCAGTTGACGCAGGTTCAGCCGCAGTCGCTGACAGTCTGCGGCAGCCTTCACCGGGGTCAGCATCTAAGTTTGTCCCCGCACCTCTCATGTCTGTGTTGATCCCCCTCGCGCCAGTCAATACGGGCGTCTGCTGTCCTGAAGCCTTACTCATTGGCCATCTGGTCGGTGATCTCAGTAGGATCCAGACCACTCGCGCACAGAAACTCTACAACTCAGTCTGGAGGGCCGGGAACCACCGGCGTGGAGTTTGAAGTGTGAGACTTAAGCAGGCCTGCATAATGCTCTGCTACAGAAGGGTTCAAATCAGACCGAAACTTGGAATTTCACTAATGACTAGCGCACAGTCCATTCCAAAACACTGTTATTGAAGATGTCTACAGTAATAACGTGGACATGGACCCAACAACGTGTTGGATCGGAGCTTGCTGTTATTCCGCAGAAGACCTCAAACAAAGAATGAGTGAATAACGAAGGGAAAACGGCTATGTGCCAGCTCCGACCTCGACTATGGTAGTTCGTTATCAGCTCGTAGCATCCGCAGTTATTCCAGTGAGCATTCACTCGGGGCGAAGAACGCCTGCCAGGATACGAACCATCCTGTAGAATTAGCAAACTCAACACAATCATGTACTAACATTCCCAACTTCGGCAAGTTAGAGCACTCAGAGTAAAAGTGAATATGAAACGTAACAGCCTGCCCTAAGACGATTCAGACGCACTGACAAGGCCTTTCACTCTGAAGCCTCACATGCATAGGTTGATTGCTGAGTTGAAGAGGAAATGTAGTTTCAACTTCAAAGTTTAAAGTCCCAATTTGACTTGAACACCGCACACGTACAACCACGTTGCGAGCAGTATAGCCACCGAGTCACACCCTCCAGACTATTTGAAGCATATCCATCTGACAACAGGCCTCTCATCAACCTAATAAGGGAGAGCATAGAAAGGCTGTGCATAGAACCTGAAACCGATTAGCAGCACTCAAAACGTGGTCCACAATCGTTACCGAAACAAGAGAGAACGGAATCGGATGTAGCCTATTGAAATCGTGTGAATGTATTTTGAGTTGATCACAGTCACAACAGCAGATACGAGAGAGAGAGTAGGAAAGGTACAACAAACCACTCGGGAGTCAGGAAAAATAGACATGGAGAGAGAGTGAATTTATTATGCTTTTCGGATTTCCCTCTTCTTTACCGAAGTGCACACGGGGGCCAGGAGAGAAAGGAACGGGATGACTTCTAGACCATATTGCCTCAGTCTACAGATCCTCCAAATTCCTGAAGGCTGTTGTTATCTCCTCGTTCAGTTCATCGAAATCAGCTAGAATTTGAGCCTAATTAAACAAGGCAAAAGGGGCCAAAAAACTTCAGAACTCTCATCTCACGATTTGAATAAGGGTGAAAGCGAGGAGAGGAAGAGGTGACAGACCTGACTCTCAGTGCGAGGGTTCTTGAACTTCATGTTGGAGAGTTTGTAGAGGGTGGAGCTCATAGCCTCGCGAATGATGGCCCAGGTGACACGACGGGGCGATTGAGCGGTGGCCTCCACGATGTTTCGCGCTTGGTCGTAGAAGTGAATAATGTTGCGCATCATCCCCACAGATTTGTAGAACGGACAGAACCTGTAGAAGGGAGGAAACCAAATGCAACGCAAGAAGAATGCCTTTCGTCAACAATGTATTTGACACTGCACTACGCGATTCAGGTTCCACGGTTGAACTGCATGCGGAACTGCAGGTAAGGCCACTCCAAAGAACTGGCAATTTCGATGTTACTAACTGAAAGACATATGGGGACGATGGAGCGCATCCACAACGATTCGTAAAGGTAGAACCATTAAATCCATATCGACTACTGTCTGGATTGTACAATCTGTCGCGGTTTCGATCACTAACTCGGTGCTATGACGTTCCATTCATAACACTTCCGTAAACAGCGTAACAGGTCTTCGGTAGACTTGCGATTAAATTAGAACCCCGACCCCTACAAGAAGGGATCAGACGCCACGTATAGAGTTCAGTGACTGGATAGTACACCTGAGTCAAAGAAGAAAGGGTTCTACTATGAAGAGCACCATCCACCGAATCACGACGAAAGGAGTTTGTCTGAATTGCGACGAGTTCAATTTCTGCACACTAGCCAGCATTCAAGCGAAACCACATTTCAGCTAATCGGAATCGTGCCCTAGCAACTAGGTGAAGTGATGAATTAATGAGGAGCACAGTCTCGTGCGTTTGATGGAATGGACTTTTGACTGCAGCAAAATGTCTGGACGAAAAGCGGCTGGAGTGAGAGATGGTCGGGTTGTAGAATATCATCCGACAGGACAAATGACCTGTGGTAGAAAAATCGTGGACTTTAAACCCTACTATCGCGACAATCCGCTTAAAAATAGGCAAATGTGATCCAGAACTCAATCTATTCACCAATAAATGGCATTCTGGGACAATTTGCTGCCGTATAAACTGTACTTCTAAATTGCTTATCACAGTTGAGTCCAATCCTTCGATAATAGATAGAGGGAGTCCATGACAAAGTCCAAGAGAAATGTTAAGACAATCTGCAAAATACGGTGGCAGTTGTCTTGTAAAGAAAGAGAGGAATTAAAGGTAAGAAATCATCGAAAAAGCAAAACAATAGCAGAAATAAGTGACGAACCTATCGTAGTCCGAGTAGCCGTTCTGCTGCAAGAAATCGTCCTTGATGATACGCGCCACCTCCAGGGTGATCTTATCCGACTCCGCCAGTGACGCCTGGAAAAAGCAAATCACTAAATACACGTCACTCAATTTCACTGCAACATGCGCTCTAAACACGGCCTAATCTTTACTTTCAACCGTCTGCGTCACCCGTCCAAATGGAGCCATAACAATGCAACGTAAATGGGTTGAGGTATTCACGGGTCGTGAATACCTCGGAGAGAATGCAGTCGGATCAGTTTGGTTGGGTGATTTTACTCCCTAAAGTAGCCCAAATGAGTTTGTGGGATGTCTTTAAATTACGTGCCAATTGGCGCCACTTGACTAGCATTGTTGAGAGCCGCAATGGTATCTAGTCACACCAATGAATTGTATAAACGGGGCCATTCAATCTTCTGTGATTGGACCCTCTGTAACGCAGTTTCCCAAAAGGCCGTGAAACCTGGATCCATCAAAATGCATGAGATGCAAAGCCGCCGTTACATTAGGAAATCGACTTAGCGTGATAGGGAAGAGTCTCATTATCCCTCTGCTTCCAAGGCGAAGTTGGAGACAAGACTACGTCCTGAGGAGTAGACGAGCCATATCTTCGTTTCTACCATTAGAACAGCCATAAAAGTAGATGGAGAAGTGTATCCACAAGGAGCACCAGCCAATTGCATCTGATTTGCCGTGAATCTCAATCTTTCAGTCATCCCCTACGTCTAATGACAAAGCATCCTCCAGATTTACATGCACTGAAAGCAATTGACGTGCATTAATTGAATAATTTGAAAAACAGCTAGACAAAGAAGTGAAAAATGAGCTAGAGGACTGCATGGTCGGATTCCGCAGTATAAGGAGAGGAAGATTCCCGTCTTGTGATAAGATGGAGTCCTTTGAAAAGCGTTCACCATAGTATTTGCACTTCGGTAATCGCAAAAATGGAAACGCCATTATTGTCTGTTTGGCGATAGTTGCATCAGTTACAGTAATACGATAACGTTTACCTAAAACAGTTGAACGGAGTGCCTAGGTAGGCGGTTTTAAGTGCCTAACCAATGCTGGCCAAAAGGTAAAAGGCCAATCGTACCACGACACAATGCTAACTAGACTGTAAGTAGTACAACACATTATTTACCATAAAAAGTAAAAGAGAGCTTCCTTTGCGTTTAAATTGTTCTAGCTTTAAATATACTGAAAGAAGAAACGGTCTTTTAATCACTCTCTGGGTGATAGAAGTGCCTACCTTGCCGACAAGCTGGACAATCTCGGAAAGGTCCTTCTCCTCCTGCAGAATCTCCTGCATCTTGGTGCGCAGCGTGACGAAGTCGGGAAAGTTCTGCTCGTAGTACTCATCCAGGGCGCGTACGTACTTGGAGTAGGAGATGAGCCAGTTCACACTGGGGAAGTGCTTGCGTTGCGCCAGCTTCTTGTCCAGACCCCAGAAGACCTGGTGTAAGAAGTAAAGGAAGAGGGACGTCAGCACTTGAATGGAAGCGTTCTTCCCTAAAAAACTTAATTCAACCTGACGCACCGAGGTCGTGCCCAGTGCAATCGAAGGAACCGCAACTACTGCAGAACCTCAACCGGATAGCACAATGCCAACAGAATGCGAAAAGGAGACAATCTGCCAACACCTAAATACTACCCCCAGAACGCCATTTCTGCAGACTCCTACCATTAGGAGGCGAACAACAACTAAAGACCGTAGACCCAAGCAACAATTTTAGACCTTAGAGGAGCGTCGGTGGTACTAGTTACCGAGGCGCACAAATCAACCACGCTTGCCAAGCATCAGCTTCCAAAGCACGGACAAAGAGTAGTTGTCAACGTCAACTAACACATCAAAATAATAGTGCGACAGTAGAAAATAAAGTGAGTGACTAATGAGACGTAAATGCAGTGAAGTTCGGTTGAAATGGATACGCCATAGCTGTTTTGGGAACAAATGTAAACAATCCCATAACCGCTAACCCGAAAAATGGTGGCCTATTAAATGGGGACACAAAAGAAGGGAACCTTTCTAGATAGGCGAAAATTCTCCATATATTGAGCTAATAGCCTTGACAGTAATGAAGAGCTCCGATTGAGAAATAGCAGATTGTGTAAAACTGGGGGGGGGACGAACAGGGAATGAACAGTTTGATACACACCCATTTCTCCTCCACCCGGTGCAATAGAAATTTCAAAAGGTTACATTTCATAAAATTATCATCCCCCCTTTTTTCTCGCCGTAAATAACATGCTGTGAGAAAAAGATGTAGGGAAAATTAGAATCTCGAGTCCCTTCATTAGTCTCTTTCTGATTGGTTAATTTCCGTGATGACTCATAACCAAGCAAAAACCGTGGCCACCTTCCGCTTTTCGGGCCGATACAGTAAAAGCCCTCCACTCCAAAGGTTTTCGCCTTCGTGTTCGATTAGGATCGCAAGTAGTCAAGGCGCCAGTCAATCTAGCTGGGGTAGCCAGTGGGCAATGAGCATTATGGAGTTAAGAGAGGGTAGGTGGGGCAGGATGACTCGTTCGATCTCTTACCATTTCCCCACCATATTTACTAACTAGCGCCAAAAAAACTGCGAAAGGTGGGGAAAGGCATTAGTAGATTTGTCTGAGTCAAATGGAGGTAGATGGTGCTGGTCCTGCTAAATAAAAATGACCAATCAGTTTCTATGACAGAAGCTAACGTCCTTGACTAGTAACACCTTTCAACAGATGACACATGAACACTCACATTTCTACCGCGGTATCATACTTACAAAAGACATTATCCCAAGGAGGTAAGGAGGGTAAAAAAGCGACACCTCGCTAGCCTACCTGCACGATGCCGAGAGTGGCCGAGGTAACGGGATCGGAGAAGTCACCACCGGGTGGGGAGACGGCACCGACAATGGTTACAGACCCTTGGCGCTGCTCCGGCCCTCCAAGGCAACGCACGCGACCTGCGCGCTCGTAGAAACTGCATGGACCGAGGCAAGAAAAAGAGGCATGGAGTAGCTCGATGCAGAGCGGCATTTGTTCCAATCGTGAATCTAACTGCGCGAGCTTTCTCGTCTCCGTGGTTCTCGGTCACTGTCTTAATGATATGGAATTCTGCGAGCATCGCTTTCTATCAACAATAAAGTTCTATTCAGAATTGCAGACCATTGTAATCTCCAGAGGGTAATTAAGCACCGTAAGAGAAGTCGGGCTGACGTAGATTAAAATCAACAAGCAGGAAAACTTTTCCCACAGCATTACACCAGCGATTTCCATAAAACACGCTTGAAGTTCATTTTAGTGATGGGATTTTCATCTCAGTGAGTCAATTTTTTTGTCACCAATTGGAAGTCCTTGGAAAAGACTTTACAAACATCGGCAAAAAATGTACTACCAGATTTTCGGTAAAGAAACCTAGTCACCAGATTTTACTTTGTTTTAGTTGTGCACTTAACTGTACGGCTTCCTCATTCTCCGTACGGTTTCTTCACCATCTTTATTCTATCACCGTTACCAGGTCACCACTTCAAAGTCAAAAAAAGAGAGGAGAGAGACGAACTTAGCGAGACGAGCACCAAGGTAGGCAGGGTAGCCCGAGTCAGCAGGCATTTCAGCGAGACGGCCGGAGATTTCACGCAACGCCTCTGCCCACCGACTGGTGGAGTCGGCCATCATGGCCACATTGTAGCCCATGTCACGGAAGTACTCGGACAAGGTGATGCCCGTGTAGATGGAGGCCTCACGCGCCGCCACTGGCATGTTCGAGGTGTTGGCCACCAGCGCCGTTCGCTTCATTATCGTCTCCTGCTTGCCATTCACCTCCACTGTTAGCTGTACAGAAGACGGGGGAAGAATGCTGAATAAACCTACACATTTCCCTCTACCAGTTTAGTGAGCTGTGGCGCTGACACATTCACTGCCAGGTTGTCATACGATTTCCATTTTCGCTACTCAAAAAACAGCCAAAAGAGATTCGCAATTCATCAGACAGTGCGGATTAAGGAAGCCAGTTAAAAGCATCTGCAATTCATGAATGCAGACATTTCTCCTCATCAGATCATAGGCTTTGTTGTCAGGCTTTCCAGGGCCTACTCACTGTAGGAAACAAAAGCATGTTTGGTCAGAAAGTGGCAGACCTGATTTCACACTTCAACACAAGAAATCGCCTGAGTGTCTCTGCAGTTATAGAGTCAGGGGAACTAGAGTAACCAAAAGTCGGGACAGGGGCACTAATCGTCATTTGATGAAAATCCCATAGCATTAGGCTCGGTCATAGTACTTACAGTTGACTACTAGGAGGAAGAAATCATAATGAAAGTCCTAGCATCATCAAACACCCGCAAAATGAGCTGCGTGAAGGTTTTAATCATCTTAGCACCATAACCGGATAACGTTGGCGACGAATGTTAGGACGGCTTCAGAGCATTTTAAGTCACCAAAAAACGCTTTATTTGGAATGGACTAGTGCCTTTCGCTTACAAAATCTATCGGACGACTTAGTGTTTGCTGCGACCGTAGAAAAACCATATATGGAGGTTTGAGGGAGCAGTCTATGACCTAGGATAGTCAAGGATGTAATAACAAATGACCCCCAAAAGCTTTAGCCTTTAAAAATAGCTTGTTATGGCTGGGATAAAGTGCAACAGATGAATCACGGAATAATTGCAGGTCTGAAACGCTCAACCATGTATGGAGGGCTTGCATAGAGAGCAAATAGAAGGTAAATGTGACAGGCCCGAAGCCCCCAGACTTTCATCGTGCTACACCCACTAATGAGTGGCTCGACATAACTCCATCGGGTTCAACTAACATAAATAATAAAATGCAGTATTGTTTTAACCTAAAAAGGCAATTGACAAAGAGAACTACTAATATTAACAATCAAACCGATGAGAAGTTAAAAAAACCTCTAGTAAGAGTAAGTAAATCTAATCAAGAGGGTAATCGTGAGATTCAATCACTTCACACCAACATTAAAAAGCTGAAATTAGCATTACCCATTAAACTGGATTCACTAAATGCCTGGTTTTAAATTCCCCTCTCCCAAAGAGAACTGCCCCAGAAAACAAACCCACAGATACAAGGAATAGAGTAAATGAAGGGACAACTCAAACTGACCTCAGGGAAGTCACGAAGCACCTCGGCCATCTCGTTGCCACGCTCACCACACCCCACGTAGATGATTATATCAGAGTTGGAGTACTTTGAGAGGGACTGCGAGATAACCGTCTTGCCACAACCGAAAGCACCGGGAATGGCTGTTGTACCACCTTGAACGGCGCTGTAGGGGAACGAGCACCCGTTGAATGGATGGGAACTAGGATCGACTCGAGAAATTTATTATTCAACGCCTTAAAACCAGTCTAACGAGAGAGCATTCCCGGCCAGAATATTTAGGCTAAAAAGGTTAGTAAAAAAACATGGAATTCCCACGAAACAACATTGATGTCTAACTAAGGCTTGAGTCGTTGGGAGGCTATATCTACTACATATCTACAAGCCCACTACCATGATTAAGGCAGTTGCATAAATCTGCTCTAGGATGACAATTTGACAAACTAAATTGCCATATTAAACTTAAGATCAGCTCAAAATCAGTAATACTCTGTTGATTTTGACAGTAGACACCTCAAAACCAGCTCAATCAAAGGTCCCCTCAGTAATCCACCAATCAAACTAATAAGCTGGTTCGAGATAATCAATCCCGTTGTGAATGAGACTCCTCAGTTTTGTTCGGAATCACTTTCAACCATGTGATACAAGCACTAACAACGCCATAATCACAATCATCAAGCTGTGTATAGTTTCATCGAAGCAGTGCAGCTACCATTGCTGAGGCGTACACCAGGCCTCCAGCATGGCTCACGCTGATTGGCAGGGGAGGGATACGCGGAGGCAGAGAGGAGAATTAACTTTCGCTTGCTCGCAGAAATTTTCCCACTCGTTGCCAGGGTTTAGAGGAACTAGGGAAGGGCTTTCCAAACACCATGGCGTTAGATACTAAAAACCATCATGGATATAACACTTGGGATAGAAGCGAATGCGCAGTCAAGTTGAAAAGTTTCCCAGGATAGTGGCAACAATAGATTTGAAACAAACCAAATCTGATTAGCAGCTGATTTGATTGCTAAGCTGCTGACATTTTGAGGTGGGTGGTGCATATATGAGCGACATTTCGACACAAGGCACATCTTCAGGACATTCAACAAAATTCTGTAAAGTACAAAAGTAATGAAACATTGAGGTCTAATTCGGATCCTTGAGTCAGTTGTCGTAGTACGCTATCTAGTGCACAAAAAGACGTTGCTAGTGGTGGTCAGAATTTACGGGTTTCTTGAAAGCAGCAGTAACCACCACAGACCATCATATGGACGGTCAAATACAAGCCTTTGCACATACGACTGATTGTATACGTGGAAGGGTTAGCTAGCACTTCAGCCATTCACGGAGATTGCACCGCAAGCGACACGCGGTTAAAATACACGTGGGCGAACATACACATATATGGAGAATATGACGGACGGTTAGATGCGGTTCATTCCACCAAAGTATGAAGACTCACGGGAAAAGGGCATCGAGAATTCGCTGTCCAGTGAGGAGGGGATAATTAGCGGGTAGTTTCTCGGCCACTGGTCGTGGTTGACGCACCGGCCAGATTTGCAACATTGAATGTTCCGTCACCTCCCCGTCATATTCAGTCTCTAGTACCTTGTCCTACAACGGGAGGCAACTAGCTAAACAAGCTGAATTCGTCTAAGGAGGCAAGAATAGATGTATCTGTTGATTTGAAGTGGAATGGCGTATTTTGAATAGACGAATAGAGATAGGGCGGAAGAATAAAGGTAGGATAAATCAGGCATGGATGAAGACGGAATTGATGAATAAAGGCAAAGTAGTCAAGTGAATGAATATGGAGCAAATGGATTGAGTGGAGGAGTGGATTCCTAGTGGATAGACAAACAGATTCAGTAAGTAATAGTAGGCGAACTCGGAATGGATGAGTTTAGGACGAATAGTCTGATCATTCAAGTCTAGTGCAACTTACAGTGATGCTATAGTTGCCCGGAGGCGCAATCCATCGCACAGTACCCATAGCCTTCGGTGACAGCATCAGCTTGTGATTCACCAGGGTGTTTTCATACACCGAGCCAAAAATGTCCCCACCTGTTATGTGCATTCCCGGTCGGAGGGTCGAGTTAGGCGTAAACTCCCACACTACCTTGCGATCCAGGGCGGGCACACTGATACCCTTGGGAATGTATATCGAGGACGTCAGCTGACGAATATCCTGCAGTGGACGTTGAATACCTAGACAGAGGGAGGAGCACCGTACACAGGATGGTGGGTGGAGAGAGCTTTCGCACAAGATGCAGGCTTATTCCACTTGCTCAAACGAGACAAACGCTCAAAGCGTTGACTCTTTTGAAGATACAACAAAAAGTAGACTCACCATCAAATATGCTACCCATGATACCGGGACCCAGTTCCACAGAAAGAGGTTTGCCAGTCTTCAAAACGGGATCGCCAACAGTAACACCAGCTTAAGGAAGCGAGAGGAGGGCGTGCGTTAAGGAGGAAAAAAAATAAATACATGGGTGCAAGATAAGTGAAGTAAGTGGAAGGATACAAGTGTCCTCGTAGACCTGGATGGTGGCCATGTCGCCCTCGAGACGAATGATCTCGCCCACGAGGTTATCGTGACCAACACGCACCAACTCGTACATTGCCGAACCGGCCATCTGGGAGGCCGTGACGACAGGCCCGGATACGGCGTGAACGTAGCCGTAGAAAGCCTCTTTGTCCAGCTGGCGCCCCAGCTTCATGTCACCGAATGCTTTCTCCATGTCTTAAACGTACACAAAAAGATTCATTCTTAATCATGATCACCTAACCAACTACAAATATTAATGTCTTAGGGATAAAAGGACTTGGAAGATGAGAGAAAGCACCTGATTTCCATCAAAATGACAACAAAATTTATGATAATTGAGTTGACACTAGAAATGGTCACGAAGGAAACTCATTGTTGAAAAAGGCAGAGCTAAACACTTTACGAAAAAAGCGAACTAGAGCTTTGATATCGGCCAAAAAAACACTCCTCCGTATACACAAAAAACGAACATTCATATGTAAGAATTTGTTAGCTGTCAGTAAAATAGCAAAAATGCCTAGTTATTCACAAATAGGAATATTAAGAAAGATAACACACGACCGACAAAAACCAAGTGAGGGCCAATAATCGTTTGCTGCATTGAAAGGTAGAGTAAAGTAACGACTTGAAACCTAGCCATTTCAGTGATATAATCGGTTCCAGAATATGCAAGATGGCTCACAAATACAAAAACCAAATGAGCTGAAGTCAGGTTTGCAAGCCACTATGCTAAGGCAAAACTTCTGCAACGAAGCTGAAACAAGGGTTCATTTAAAAAAATGGAAGACATTGCTTGCATAAAAAACCACAGAATAAATGGGACACTCATAGGCATAGCTCGTCAGAAAAATACGGAAGGAAATACAGCAAAAAGCCTAATCTCAAACACGGCGGTACTGAGAGACGTGGCGATACAAATCTAGTCCGTGATACAAATACTGGTTTTAGGTTGATACGCCGTCTTATCGCTAACGCATAAATGCACTTTGACGTTGAGGAAAGCGGGTAGGAGCAGTGTATTCACCAGAGAACAACCACAATTGAGTTAGTAATCTTTAAAGTGCACATATGAAGAGTAAAGCTGTAAACCACCAGGAAAAAAGTGATTCTCTTCCAACCTATTTTCGTACAGCTCTAACCGCAAAAAAGCCCAAGAACACAGCCTACCCGAGCGTGTTGGCGATAGGAGTAGCTACTTCGGCGGTTACCCTACATCATCATGTATAGTCGTAAGTGGCAGGATTCGAGCCCTCCAAAGTATCTAAGTAATGCACAAAACTACGCATTCAGGAAATTCTTTAAAAATTGCGATTTGCAAATGAGCTCGAGAAAGACACTTCTGACAAATCCAACTGGAGCAGTAACTTCCATAAAATTCAAAGCTTTGCCCTTTCACAGTTTTCGAATGCAAAATTAAAAATTTTACGGGAACTACTGCTGGATGAAAGTGTGCTTGATAATATAACTAGCAAGATTAATATTTTAAACCCTGATTTTGTTCATTGTTCTTTTTGAACACTTTCCACTAAGCGATATACTATTTTTAGTTTTAATTTAGCAAAGCGATGCACAGGATATGGCAATGGATTATAATATCTTACCAAATTTGTCAGTTTGCAAATCCACACTTGCGGCTTGACCTCCTAGCCCTCCTGCACACTGACTCTATGTTGCCCCTCTACATTCTCCCTGCGGGTATGCCCTGAACTCTTTTATTAACTATCTCCTTGTTGCGATGTTGCTTATGTGTAATTGGCGTGTCGTGGAGCATTAGTGGGCTTTAATCAGCAAGAAGGTGCAAAATTCCTCCCCTTCAATGCAGGCATGAAAGAGGAGCAAACTGCAAATGCAATGGAGTTGATGAGAGGCACTTTGGACATAAGAATCGAGTATAACCTCGCTTTTGTGGAGATTCAGTGTCTAGTCTTCCTTGTTTTAGGCACCCTCTGCGTTGTAATGGTGGAAGAATGACCAATAGAGGCATATGTGATCGCGGTCAGATGAAGGTTATTTGGTGAGGCAAGAATTGTCTGACACCGAGTGCCCCCCGCTCCCCGCAAACTAGGTTTTTGCCTCGGCAGTATAACTACTCAGTAGCCACTACATCGGGGAAAACAACTTACAACCCGCACCAGCCTCTTCAGGCACATTCGCAACGCTGCATCCTTAACTGATTTGTCCCTCCCATTCTATGTGTGAGTCTGCCGCCCTAAAGCGGAAATTTATCTCGTATTTGCTGGAAAGCCAACAAGAACCTATAATACTGAGAAGATTGACCAAGATAACCTCCACACTTGACCCAAAAGCGGAACCTACAAAAGCTGATACCACGTCCGATGCCATGTTCGTCGCGCACAATTCACCCGGCCAAAGACCACCAGCCCCGTTCCCTCAAACAAGTAGACGTTAGTGTACAAGTTGTTTTTCATACATTTTGCATTTCTGCCGTTTTTTTCTTTCGACTAAAAAAAGCACAATGCACGCTTAGATATGAGGAAGAGATGGCGCGCACGCGAAAAAAAGGCGGAGATTGAAGAGGCGAAGAAATAGCAATAAATCTAGTCATACACACACACACACACACATAAATGAGGAAGTATCAACACCGCTTCTTACCCCTCTCCACGGTCACACACACGCAAACGGTGTTGCTGAATGGGTAGACGAGAAAAGGCAGAAAAGAAAGCGCAAGATTGACTTAGTGTTCTGTGGTGTGGTGAGGAGGGGTAAGGCGTGCGAGAGACGAATAAATGCACGAGGGAAGCGAGGAGGGGTACGAGCCCTGTCCATTCAACGGTATCCTGGAGTGACGAAAGTGCTTGGCAGGGAGGCCTGTTGCGCAGCGTTATTTGCAGTAGAGTTGGTAGCAGTGCCTATAACCTGCGTCTGGCCATTTCCGATCGGGGTGGCGAACTGCACACCAGCCGCCTGTATTGCCGATGGCGCCATCACAATGGTGGTAGTGGAGGGATTGATTATCGTCGCGCCCACGGGAAATCGACTCAAAATATACCGCGGTTGCTGCGGTCCCGTCGCTGTCGCGATCTGCACCGGACTCACCACCCGCAGTATGTTCGCTTGCGCCGGTGCGTTTACTGTCACAACCTTAGGTTGGGAGGGAGCGGCAAAGGTGGCGATTTGCGGTTGGACAGTGCCGTTCAAGGGAGCAGTAGCAAAACGCACGGGCACCACAGTGGTAGCTGGGACGTTGGGTGTAGCAGTAGCGAAAATATACTGTGGCGCAGCGGCAGGAGGAGGAGCGGAGCTAGCGGCAGTGGTGGATGTGGACGTCGGCTGCTCCGAGTACGCGGTGATGCAAGCACGTTTCGTTGACCCACTACGCACGATATCGGTCATCGGTGGCGCCTGCGACTGCTGTGGCCAAGTTGATTGGACGACGTACTGGGACTTGACGCCAGAGAACGACTGCTGCTCGTCTGTTCTCGTTTCATCATCGTCCTCTTCCTCACCATCGTTGTCAGTGCAGGTGACGTCGGCAGCTTCCTCCTCCGCATCCTCTTCGTCCTCATCTTCGAGAAGGACACTGGCTAGCTCAGGAATGTTTTTCGCGGTAATCTCGGCAAAGGGATTTTTGCTCCGAGACCCATATCCCCGCCTCCGTCGCTGGCGTTGGCGACGCCGGCTGATACCAACGTCGTCGTCCTCGGTGTCGGGGACGGGTTCGCCGGTCTGGTGCAACGCTGCGAGGGAAATCACCTCCTCCACCATGCTCTCTACGGTTTCCACACTCCTGCCTTTACTCAAGGAAGAACACCAACAACTAGAAAACTTTTTGGAGCATCAGCATTAGTATCCAGTAGTCTATACTAATTTGACCGCCTTAATAGCAAGATGAAGAATCTGGGTTTATAGCACAGAGATAACGTCTTGAAGCCTGTACAATAGCATTCCCAAAGTAGCCAATATAAAAGCATGATGTGGATGAGAATTGGGTTAATTTTGTTATATTTTACTGTCTATCAGGGCGAGAAAAGTATTTGACACCTAAAATGACCACTTAGGGAAATCTTTCTTAATTATGGGTTTTAGATGATTAAGGATACAAAATAGTTCCAAATAAAGTACCTTTATCTTCTGGAAGACTAAACTTTGTGCCTTAAATTCAACGCCTCAAAATGTACACTACAAAAGCTCTAACTTCTTACCAAAATCGGGGATGTACGGGAGAATTTCAAAGTTTCTGGCTACCTTGACTTATCGTTTTCACTCAGGAGGCTTATTTCAGTGAATAGATAAAGATTAATGGGAATCATTACCGATCTAACCTCTTAACAGCTATAAAACTATTCTGTTCGTGCAGCATTAGCCAGAACAGAAAGCAATCTTCGGTAGCAAGGCTCTTAAAATGAACCAGAAGAAACTACATTATTATAGTTATTGAATATGTAAGCAAACTACAAGTACTATGCTGGCCATAGGATCCCATCTAGTCTAGAGACACAGACGATCCTTTGCGTTATTAAAGCGCTGCATCTGCAGGGATCAAGAACACAAAGCATACCTATCATAACCATTTTACTGGTGGAAAAGAGCTTCAGAGTATTCCTAGTGTCCTCCTCCACCCAGTAAGTCAACCATGGTCCCAATTCCGGCTCGTAGCTGTGGTGCAAAAGATGGAGGGGTTCAGGCAGCCCTAGCAAACAAGTCAAACAGGGAGTAGAGGGATGGAGGGGGACCAGAAATACCTCATAGCTCTGGGGCGTTCCTTGGCGAGGTCATCCAAGCGCACTCGGAAGGGCAGTTTACAGGTGGCCATGATATTTAAGATTCGGTATTTGGTGAACCGACAGGGAAAACCGACCAGGGAGATTCGTCGCGCTATTCGTCTTGCGCCTTTTTTTGCATTCGCCAAACTAGAAGTCGAGCACCAAGACGGGCGGGAAGTAGAAGGAGAAAGCAACGTCATCTCAAGGAAAAACGACACAGAACTCATTTCATCCAACGAAATAACCTTTCAAACTGCGTTTGGACCCCAACTAAGCTTTGGATCACTTGAAAAAGATTTATCCATGTTCACCCCCGACAAACTATTTTTTTGCTAGACTAAACCAGCATGCTGATTACTAAGTGAAACAGAAACATTGGATTCCAGAGTAGCCTACAAACATCCACGAGGCATTTAAAATGCAATTTTAGCCAGCTACTTAGTTATTGGCTTGTAAAAACGAACGCAGCTAAAGAGCACCTTTGCACATATATAGAGAGAGAGAGAGCAAAGAACAGGGGAAATGATGGATTAGCCATTATGGCAAATAGTGCCACGTGTAACAGAAATGGCTATAACTACCCCAAATTAAAGGAAGAAGACCAGATAAGAGGCCTGCATATGAATAATTTGCAGAATACACAGAGTTCAGAGCAGTGATCCACACAACGTTACCAAAACTAGGAGCTCGTCGTAAAGAAAAAAAGGACGGTGGGCCTTCAGGTTAAAATAAGTATGTTGTGAAGCTCAAAACATAGAAAAGGCGATGAATGAAGACTCACGAATTGGCTCCGGTGCACCAGAACTTGCCACTGGACCAGATAGTGGCCACTATATACGGTCTACGCAGCCTCATTATGACGTGCTAAAGGCCAGAGGATAGAAAAATTATCTTGCTGACTTTAAGCCGAACAATCACATAGGCTATGCCATCGCATTACGGTCCTGCAATACCAGCATAAATAGGTCACATCGGAAACCAGCGGAGGTCAGGGGACTTGTGTGCGCAGGAAAATCAATACAAGCTACTGACTTTGCAGGAACCGACATGACCCAGTCAGTTGCACAATGAATGGAATAACTCTTCATTCGCATATATGAGCGCGAGTGCATACACAAGCATTAAGAGCTCTGACAACAAGTAATGCAATTGGCAGCTTGAGGAGCGTGCGTACACCCGTGCCAAACCAAAAAGACCAATGAGGTAAGATTAGATACTATGGCCCAAGCGTGCCAAAAGCGCTTCTTAGAAGCTACTCCGAAGACGGGACTGCACAGTGCATAATTAAGGTTAGATTCTTCTTCATTTTCCTGTGTTATTTTAGGCAATTCCATGCCCATATCAACACTGACGAAGCCTAAGTGTACCCGTGCACGGGAAGCAGTACAGACTGATGAAAAAGGTAACTGACACAGCTAATTACTGCAATACGAAAATACGAAGGTCTAGCATCTAATGCACTTTTGTTATACAATGACAAAATGCAGCTTAGCATGCTAAAATTGTTTCAACACATAAAACGGGACCAATACAGTAAGGACAAGAAGTCTTACGTTTTGAAGAGGATTGTATTGGACGTTTACGCCTGATCTGGCTATCTCCTTCAGACGCAAATGACATCCCAAATGGGCCATACAAACCACGTTTGTGATGGTTAGCGTCACCGACGGGATCTCCTCGGAGGGCTCTTCACCTTGCTTTTCAGAAACTGGAAGATCTTGGGGTTCGGATGGGACCTGATCACCTCGAGCGGGAGGCAAGGGATCAAGGCAATCGCTGTTATTGTAAGAGTGCCCATTCGCAGATGACTCATGACCAGGGGATACCCCATACATATCTTATTATAGGAATAAAAGAATGTTACCCACCTCACGTCAACATTGTACTTATTACTGGCACAACGCACGCAAATTTACCAGGCTCACATTGAAAATAGTAAAATAATAAAAGGTTCTTCACGAATTCATAAGACATTGTCTACGGCTTAGAAACCAAAAACCTATCGCCATATTAACAACCATGCAGATTCTTACGCACAATTATATAGGGAAATGCAACAATATGCACAAACTAGGCATACTACACAACTACTTAGCTTGGCAAAGACCTGCTGACACTAGAAGATAGATCAGTTGCGAATATATTGAACGCACATATATTCATTCCGCGCCTTACCGAAGCTAATAAAACCCTACAAATATGCCAAAACCTTTATTTCACAGTCTCCCATTCATGAGAATAAGTACGATAACCTTGATGTGCAACACAGTTCTACAACAGCTGTAGCAACCTATCACAAAATGCCCGCAGAAACAGCAAAGTGTAATTTAAAACAAATGCAAATTGTTGGGAATCGAAGCTACTGCAAACTAAAGTAAACATTAAAATGCTTTAAAAAGAGCATTTTACATCTATTAAAATTTATTAATAAAAAGCGTAGCAGTAATTATCACAAATCTTCTTGATGAATAAAGACCTAACGATTACAAATCATAATTTTAAGTGACTTTTAGCAAACAGCGTAATCCCGCCTACTTTGACTAAGCTTTTATTGTGAAACGACTAGTATGAACCAGACTACTGCCACCTTCTTATCACTTCACTACACACTTCCGGATTGACTGATCATGATTCACTAGCCCTTGGGATTTAATCAACTCGGTTTCGTAGGAGCTTAAAGTATTACGAACTTCCGTAAAGCACGTCCATGTAGTGAATCTATAGGGACATTAGCGAATTTTTAGGGCCATGTTTTGGGTCGATCTCTAGTCTTGTTACGGTGGCTAAGGCGTCCGCAGAGTCCAACACGGCCAGACAGAATATCGAATTGTATCTAACATGTTGGTTGATGCACCTTCCATTGCGAAAACTTAAGCACTAACTGCAGTTCCAGCTTCACAATGCCTAGGTACCCAGTACTGAAGCCTAGTGACCACGAAATTATTCCCACATCTCTGTTTTACTCGTTTTTCAAAACGCAGAATCAATGTTTATTATAAAATGGTTTCACGTTAAGTGCTCTGATTGGTTGAGGATCAATATAAAAATGCATAATATGTTTTTTTTCAAAGAGGCATTTCCGCCGAATGCCTCCGATTATGTCGCAGGCAGAACTGATATTCATTCGGATTATTTCGTACTTTGCCGAATTGAGTCCATCAAGACGATATCGCTTGAGGGCCATTTTTAATAATACGATCCTAGTGTACAAAACAAAACAAAAGACGCAGCCATCAGCGCCATCAACAAACAATTAATACGACTTGTCCTAGTCATAGTGGGCGAAATAATCAAAGTAAATTTTAACGTACGTAAAACGTTTAGTTTTGTGGTCATATTAGTTACCCATTTAGGCAAATCACTACTCCATTAGCATCATCAACCCTGATTCAGGGAAATGAGATAAGGTGATGAAATTTCAGTCAAAAAATGCTTACGCTCTCCAGGCGTCTAAAGTCTCACTACTTTGATGAGGCAGCATGGTGTATCTCGTAGGATTCAGCATCGGCCTGGTGATGGGAATTCCTAGGAAGGACAGCCTTTAGAAGAAGAAAAAAAACAGTCTTTCCTTTGCATATTCTTCAGGATAAAGGGTAGTCAGTTGGCCCTCACCTTTCATACATGTCGTCGTCTTCAGCACCCCAGCCCCAAAACATATTGGAAAATCCATTTACTCGCAGGAAGTGCTGCAGTGGAAGCGCCAGGATTCCACCGATTAGATTTAGATAAGGTAAGCTAAATAAAGACAATTGAATCGACAAAAAAAACTGTATTTACATATAGCTCATAAGAATATACTATATATTTATAAACTAGTCTCAGCACTATTCAGCCATAACTGCCCTTATAAATATGTATCGTCTAATTATTCTTCCATAAACATGTTTTATTAATCAATGGCCTAGAGCTGTCGCGTGTAACAGATAAATGAATCAAATTGACTTCAGGAAGGATGGGCTATCCGCATTACTAGTAGTGAATTCTCTAGTGTGTGTATCAACGAACAGTTTCAGCATAAAATAGTATTCCTATCTACGGTGTGCACTCATGTGTGATTAATAAGTCGATTAGTACAAAACTACATTTTCAGCGTGACCGTCAACAGATTTACGAAGATGATTCTCGACAGTGCCAATCTCAAACACCACCTGCCTGTATTGAAACTTATCGACCATCACGGTCAAGTGGCGAGGATAATCGGGGCACTCGTAATAAACGACGTCTCCGGCGATGGGCACCAGATCCACGTCGTGGAAGATAATGCAATCAAACGGCACTTGTTTGCTCATTTCCACCACAGCGGCGTTCATTAACAGGCCTTTGTTGAATGCCAAGGTATCCGTCTGGGTAAAGAATCAAACTACAATCAGGAACTTCACCTTGAGTTGATAAAACTTTCTCGTGTCGTTTACTGTTTGGGAACGGTAGAGCTCTAACCGATCCAGACATTTAATTAGTTTTAAAATCTCACAATTTAACGATGGAAGAGTACTTACTAGCCACTGTGTATGGCATACATACCTGCTCAACGATAGCGATGAAGGTGCAGACAGTATGTCGTTGAAGTAGGGGCAGAAGTTTCTTCAAAAGTGTCTTCAGTAGCTCCCAACGATCTCTGATGGGAAAGACCATGAGTACACGGGGATTGTTGGATGTTAGGCACTCTTCCTCGCACAATTCAATCGGTGTTTCATTCACGCTACTGCCTATCGGCAAGCAAATGGCAGGTTAACACATTTGGAAGAAACTCAACTAAGTTTTCGATGTTTGAGGTGTCATGGAGAGTACGCCAACTGTTTGGACATCTAATAAGACTCCTAGTCTACATGCCTGCCTGAGGCTTCTATTTCTTCTCAGCCTCTTAACCAAGGTTTGAATGGCCACCAATGATTGTGGCTCAACAATCGGTATCTTTTTATAAGCGAACATTGGAAGCATTTCAAGAGTGTTCCATTGTTGTAAAATAGTCACGAGGAAAGCATAGAGTGTTCTAGTAAATTATTCCTACACTTCCCTTGAGAATTATCTGGTAAAGAAACATGACCCACAGAACACATTTTACAAACACCAAACAACTGCTGAACGACATTTTCACCACTCATGAAGGCATAATCATGACTGACAGTTCCCAAAGTCGGGGATATTCTAAGAGCTCACACCTTGTCAAGGAGAACCCTACCTCATGGATTCGAGGTAAGAAAAAGGTAAGCTCACCCTTGGTGCAAAATGAAGCCCTGATATTATCTTGCCGAGTAAAGACCTCCACGGCAAAATCCTCCACCGTTTTATTGGCCATTTGGGCCAGAGCCTGCAGCTCTGAAACCAACGCTACTTGCTTTTTCTTTTCGCTTCCACTTCCACCGTCGCCGTACCTGTTGGCAAACCTCCATTTGGCGATTTCGTCGAGGAGAGCCAAAACCAACACGCTTGCTAGCGCAACCAGTAGAAGGCCGGTGAAGAGACAGAGGGCTCTGCGTCCACGCCGAGCCATGGCAGAGTGCACGCCCGTGTATCGGTGATACGCATGCGTGTTCGGCCAGGCATGCGGACGATTTACTCCATCATGCCTGTAGACACAATGATTGGCCAAGCGCAACCAGCCAATCAGGCAGGTTATGCTTTCTGCCGTGCGTCCACCGACGATGACGTCAAACGCTGAGGTGGTGGAAATGGATTGCCCTAATGACTTCAGGGCTTGCGGACAAATTTTGTGGTCATTTTATGAATATCAATGCTCAACATAAAAAATGATCATATTAGACAAATTCTGAGCTGCGAATTCTGAATAACGTGGAGGAAAACAATCGAAATTCCTGGTTTGACATCGTTTTGGCATTTCGTCAGCACCCTATCCATTTTTTCAGATGCTTTTATGCCACTGCTAAAGAAAAACGCACGGATAAATGTGAAAGGCAGCATGAATAGGTTTGCATATTTTTGCTGTCATGATGCGCAAAATTTGGACAAGTTTTTTTACTTAATAATAAAAGTAGCTATTTTAATTGACAAAATTTTAAGCCGCGTAATGCGAAATTAGCCCTCCAGGAAGCAGCTTTGAAAGCCATTTGATTAACACGAAATAATCCGGATGGTTATAACGTAACGGGCAAGATCTAAATGGCCGAGCCAAAGAAACCTCCACCAGACACAAACATTTCAAAGTATGAGAAAGGAAGTTGGACTTGCTTATTGCACTTAAAAACCCAAAATTTTCCGAAAGAAAAGACTTTAACAATCGAAGAATGTTGAAAATGATCTCAAAGGAGGTAACATTTGCAAGTGAGCCTGTTAAAGCACTAGCATTATTTCTGGTGCTACTGGTTAGCCAGCTAGGGACTTCAAAAGCTCACTATTAGTTTCTCATCATGCTTCGAATTAGTAAAGCTATTTTTTCCAATTTCTCCTAAATTTGCAGTCACGAAGTGGGTAAACCTCAAGTGCGTTTTATCGGCCTAAATGTACGTGGCCTTGTTGACTTAAGTAAGTAGCGCATTTTCGTACCAAAGTTATCACCAAGTGTGGAAACGAGGTGGTCTGGCGCGATATAAGTTGTAACCCTTAAGTAAAGATGACCATTAAGATTCTAGAATCTATTAAAGTGGAGCGAAACTTCTACTAGGCCTACTACCACTGCAAAGATTCCATTTCACGTTGTGATTCGCACTCTACTTTGTAAGTTTTTAATTAGTAGGTTGGGAAGTTTGAAAGTGGCGCCACAGAAATTCAGCCGACCACGGCCACTAGCTGGGATATCTGAGCTAGAGCTTTTGGAAGGGATAAATTTAAGCAAAACGCTAATATGTAAAAGTTATGAGGGGAAGCCGTATGTAAAGGCTCTAATTCCTGACGGCCTTGAGTTCATTAAATTTTTCTTTTAATAATTTCCACCAACTGTCAAAGTCGCTTAACATATTGAAAAAGGAAGAGAGAGTTACTTAACGCAATTTACGAAAACTAATTAACGCATAATATAGTACAGCAATGATGCAGAAAGTGAAAGCACTACTCTCCTGACAAGGTCTCTAGTTGTTTGACATTTTAGTTCAGATAAATAAAAGCTGTACTAAACTCTCTAAAATGAAAGACGGGATGGAGAATAAGTAGGGCTCTCGGTATGGTAAAGGGTGATAATCCCGCTCCAGAAGATCATCCACCCACCTACACAACTTTACAGTGCGTGCCATCATCAGTGTACCGGACTAGCAATCACTGAATGTTATAAATTTATCTTCTTTACCCCTATCTTACAACTAATTTCTACTCAACTTATGAGGGTTAAAGCGGAGGAGTGATTACTTCAGCGGTGGTCGGAACAAAATCCAGCATCTGCGTTAAAATATAAACCCTTCTTAATTGCATGTTAAACCGGGCGCGTTCATCATGCGTTATCTTAGCTGGCTGTAAAAAGAGGGCTTTATATATTTGCAAAAGTTGAATCGGCTTCAGAAGCGATCTGAAATTCTTACACTGTATTGAAATGCTTTAATAGTTTGTTTATCTCTGCATTTTAGCTGCGTGGACACTGAAAGCTCCGCTAATCTACTTTCGCCAGGTGGAATAGCCTTTGAGATGTGCCGCTAGTTCCTCAGCCCTTCTGCACGTTGGCTAAACGATTACTGCTTTAGTACTGTGACCTCTTTCAGCTTAAGAGAAGTCGAAGGATTGCTTCATTGATGACAGTGGCGAGCAAACTCGATCCCAAAAAACAAGTGCCCACAACGCTAAACAGTGACGTGAAGGAAGATGAGCATATACTGAAGAGCGAAATAGCTGTGATAACCTCAAACAGAAGAGTTAAAAATGACGTCTCCGCTCGACAACTATCTTAGGCCAGCGTTTTGCAGGAGCGCTATTGACAGCTGAAGCGACACCAGACGTGTACCATCTGACATTTTTCGTTACGGAGCGGTCTGAGCTACTGATAAGACGATGTCAGTGATGTTGCCATGCGAAAGCTCCTTTAGCGATCTACCCTCTGGATAGAACCCTGATAGATAGACATGGTTGTTCAGCACCAAAGTTAGATCAAATTGTTAAGGAGGGGCAAACGCGAAACCACATTCTTAGCATAACTAGGTTAAATTCTATCCTGTTTTTGACTAGTTATAGACATATGGGATGGCTAGCACATTTCTTTCCCTCCAATACAGTTTTTAAGCAGGATGAAACTCCAGATCCATTGAAATTGTCAAGGGAAATGAGTGACGTTGCAGTCAAATACCTTCTAAGTTGTATGCGAATTAGATGACTGGTGCAACTGATTCGTGGGTGTTTTCCTTCCTACAGCACCGACTACGTTGTGATGGCCGCCGACGCGGGAGGTCATCTGAGAGGGCGCCAAGGACGAGAATCATAGGAAGATAGGGTCTATTTACCACCATAGCAGTGGTGGGCAGTCAAAGCGCCGCGCTAGCACCTTGCTAAGGCGGCAAGGTCTTTGGACCGTATCAGTAGCTCTTAGCTCTTCGCCACGACGGCAAGTCATATTCCGTCTTCTTCCGACTTGAGGAAAGACTCAACGGGATGCTACAAATGTATTGGTAAATTTGCGTTTTTAAACACACACTATTCGACACAAATGATCAGCTTTTGCGAGGAGTAAATAGAGTTAATCCTCAAAGCACCGTTGGATGACATCCCCACAGTTCATTTCGCAGATTGTGCTCGACGAAGTGATATTGGACAACAATATAACCGCCCATCGCAGACGGTGGTTGCGGTGTGAAGGCAACTATTTCAGAAGATCAAAACTGTACCAATTAGGCTTCGTTTGGTGTCGGGCCAAGTTCGTTTCTTTTGAACGGAGACAGCGAAACGCTTCGAACTCCGGGGAGAGGGAGGTGGGAATGAGATCGCAGTCTTTCTCCCATCTGCCCCAAATCATGTTTTTCACGAGTTTGGTGCCTCCTTTAAGTTAGAATCGTTTGCCAAAACGGGGTTTCTCTGATCAGCCGAGGCTGCCCCCAGTCTGGTACGTCAATGCTCGAATTGCCAACGGTTCTACCAAATTGACCCAAGAATGAAATCCTGGTTGTCAAATGCCACAAACCCTAATTACTGGTTTAAAATGAATTTCATTGGCCAATGCACAAACTAGTGACATCAAATCTGACATTTGGCACTTGATAGAGCCGGTCTGAAAATACCAGAAGTAGACCGGCCAGGGCTTGGTGAAAATGGTATCTACTGTATTTTCTCCGCTTTTTCTTATGTACAAAGAAACTAAAGGAGAGAAGGGGAGGGAAATGGAGGAATATAGCGGAAATGGGAGAGGATGGGGGAATTCAAAGCAGCAAAGCAGGCACCACACACACACAGGTGAATGGCCAAAATGTCCTGATTTTGCGGGTTGCCTTCTAGCATCACACCCATTTCCTCTTTCGCAATCTTCCCCTTCATCTTTCTCCCTCTATCTTCGCCGCAGGGTCGGGAAAAGGAGACGGCAAGGATGGCTTTGAGTGTTCAGTGCCTGTGATTTGGATCCCCGCGGAGGCATGGAATTGTGCGAGGAGAGTCTGTCTACATTGGCCGATCCATCGCTTCAAGGTACTTCCGGTCAATCACATAAGGAATCAGCCGTTGCCTAAAGGAGGCCAGACAAGACAATACAGTCACTGTCAATGTTAGTTTATTCGCTCTCTAGCACGGTATCGGGGAGTCTTATGCAACAAACTGAGGAGATGTCCATAAAAATTCCTGAAAACCTTTAAAGATACTGAGAAATGAGTTAATTTTGCCTGCTTTATTTCACTTTTACGTTTTCATTAAACATGGATAGGAGTTTATTTGCCCCAGGAGGCATACAAAATGGCAGTACAGGACTGGCGAAAGAAGTGCAATTGGCTACAGCCTATCCTGCATAATTTTCCACTCCAGCCGGGACACGCAACTTCGCGGAGGGCGAAGCACAAGCTGGAGTGAGGGGAAGGGCAAGTCCCCTTGTCAGCTGTTCCCAAATACCCAAATACCACGCAATCTGGAAGTTAAATAATGCCATAAAAATCATTTCGGCATCTTCGTAACTGCAACGCTTTTATTGCTTGCGGCATAAAGCCACAGAAATGCACCAAACAGTAAAGAAGTCGGTGAAAAGGTGAACGAGAGGCTGTAAAACTGCAAATAAGCTTTTATAATTTTGTATGCAGAAGGCTCCGCCATTGTTCTTCCACTCCGAGTCAGGCAATTAGTCCCTCTTGGCCCCTTCGTGCGTTAGCAATGCACATTCTTTTCCAGTATTATGTCTCCTTTCGTCTTCTGGAAGTCTGGGTGCTACGTAGGTGGCAACAGAAGGCAAACCCGATCCTAAAGGACAGCCGCCATGATTTATACGTCTAGGTAATAGACGGTAAAGTGACGGAAGAAGGGCAAAGCCGTGACCACTCCTAATGGAAGGGTTGGAAACAAGGTCTACCTTCGGCAGCTGCCCCAGTCCCGTGTTCTACAGGGATGCTATTTACAACCGAAACAACGCCGGTCGTGAAGTGAGGCGATAACGTAGCACCTCCTCCACCTTTTTGCAAGCTGGACAGTCGTCAAATAGCTTGATATGGCTGGGCGGCCCTGATAGGAAATCAAAGTGTCAAGGAGGAACAGACGCGAAACGTTGTCTCCCACGAAACTGCATTAATCCCCGTCTCCTATTAAATGACTCTGCTTTTTGGTCGGTATTCTTACGACTAGCGATGGAGATGGCCTGCACATTCCCCTTTCCCCCAATGTAGCTCCGAAAGTAGGCAAAATTCCAAACTCAGTGGAAGGTTTAAGAGGGAATAGTGACGTTGCAGTCAGATATCTTTTTTTGTTGAACACAAATTCGATGATTGGTGGAATTGGTTCGTAGGCGCTTATCCTTGCAGCACCGACTACGTTGAGATGACCGACACGGGAGGTTGGTGATGGGGAGGGTCGAGGGCGAAGCTCAAAAAGCAATCAAAGCTATGTAATACTCATAGTTTTTGTTTAGCTCTTGATTTCAGTTACGCGGGCGCTTAAGACTTCGCTACTGTACTTCCGCTGGGCGGCATGGTCTTCGGGTCATTCCAGTAGGCACTCAACCCTTCTACACATCGGCAATACATTTTCTGTCTTCTTTCGACATCAGGAAAGACCTAAGGGAAGCTGTATAACATTAAATAGTCTTAATTGCCCCAAAAGTTATTCCAAAGGATAAAATGAGGGCAAATTATTCAATAATGTATCTAATGATGTAGAAATGGCGCCAAACCCGACTAAAACAATGGCCGATGCAGGTGTCACACCTACGCCAGTCAGTAATAGCCAGCTTGTGCGCTTCAAAAAGCAGAATTTGGTCTATTGTGGGCATCACTTCTCTGTGAAGGGCGGAGTAGGTGATGGAATCACTACGACCAATGCAATCGAGAAAAAGTCAAGATGAGGTACATTAAGGTAATTCGAAATCACAGACGAGAGGGTAACAAATCCTTCTGCTTTTTATTAACAGTAAAGAAGCAGTGGAAGTTGGAGGACGACTAACTAATGTCCATAGTCCTTAATCCATGAAGTCAAGGCCTACTAGAGGTGTTTTCTCTTAAGGGTCGCATTCAGTCCTGGTGGAGGAGTGCTGCAGACCCCATAACTAGCCAACTCAAGCGCTTACCGGACAAGAATTTGGAGGAAAAGGAGGATAGGGAAGACCATTTTGATAAACGGCACCTCCGCAAAACCGCAGCCACAGAGCACGGCTAATTGGAGTAACTGGAGACCAGTGAAGAGGTGCATTCTTCGTTGTGGCACTCGGCGAATGTAGTGCGAGGGCGGGTAGGCTGACTGAAAAGGTCAAGCACTCTTCGGGGCAAAAGCGGAAGAGGAAATAAACTAGAAATCGGGAAAAGGTGTTGCTCGAAACCCCCCCTTAATGAGCTACATATTTGCTTCACCTATGAATGGCATTGCAGTGAAGCATTCAGTCTTCGGAACAGCAGCAAGGGGAATCCCTTCACGCCTCTATTTACCCACCCCATCCTGTATCTGGAAGGCGCAAGGTTCCACTATTTTCGGGATTCGAAAGATCAAAGGACGCCAGAGGTGTTCGGTTTTTACTCCTAGGGCTTTCCGAAGGATATCATTCAGCCACGTCTCCTCGCGCGGAGGCGGAAGCTCTTTGATCCTGTGACTGGGTGAATCAGGAAACCCTTGTGATAATTTAAGCAGGTAATATTTCAGTGGGGCACAACTTTCACCTAGAAAAGTCCTTGCCTCTTGACCGCCGTTCTTAGCCAATAGGCTCAACAAAGTCATGGGGAAATTGACTTGAGTAATACGCCTGGGTAGGTTGGGATCTTTTTTCCCCTAATAGAACCGAGGGATAAAATAGTGTCAGCAAACAGCTTCCTTTTGAATGGCAGCGCCATAAAAGGTACGGGTGGCGTTTTAAAACCAGTAGTGTTGGCCTGAACGGCGTTGGCATTCATTTAGATGGAAGACTGAAGGCGCCGTTTTCCAATTCAAGGTGTGGCAAATCTGGCCTCTAATTTAAGCTCAATGTTGGTGAAGAAGGCATGGAACACGGCCTGCCTTCGCCAAGCATCGCCAGGAGGATCTTTATTCCAGCTTCTCCAGGTACTCCAAATGGTGCTTCCTCTTTAATCTACTTCAAATGCTTCATCGCAAGCTCAGTGCCCACTATTTTGTAGCGTGTGTCTTGCCAGTTCCAAAGGGACAATCCTACGCGCAGATGACGCGAAAGTCTGTCTCATGCCACCTACGCGTCTATTCGAGGGAAATAAATTCGGCCACACACTGGTGACACTAGTTATGCGAGGACCCTCGATTCTCATCGGCAACTCTTCCGATCTTGAGTATGGCAATGGCAATCGGAACTGGGCTCTCTCTCACGTTGCCTACAAAAAAGCGACTGACACCAGGATCAGTACCACTTTCCTGCCAAGTCACAATCAAGTGGCAGATCGGGTGGCAAAAAGTGCCTACCTGTTCAATGAAGACTAACTGGATCCGCTCCCACAGTTGGTTATCAATGACTGAGGTGACAGCCATGTAGACAAACAGTCCTGCCAGCACTGGACGTGGGATGTAGGTGAGAGGGATCGGCAACATCAGGATAGACAAGCCAATTCCAATGTGAGCCAGTATGGAGGTGATGCGAGTTTCACGAACCCGAGCCACTCTGAAATGTGTGGGGAGAGGGAGAAAATGTTATGCCCAAGCAGGAAAAACAAAATCTCTTTCCGCTTCCGTAGGCGGAGCAACCGCCCAGAACTTCGGCAAAATACCATCACGTGGAGTCAAGCGATTGAAGAGCTTTTTCAGTATCCTGTTTCCTTTTCCTTGAAAGGTAAAAAAGATTTTTCTGTGGCATCTAAATTTAATCACGAGGGCGCCAGTTGAATCCCTATCATTCTGCCATGATGATAGAGTAATTGCTTCCATTTGACCCATGTAATTGGCAGAAGAAGTAGACAAAAAAGAAGGGAAAAGTGGTGTGGTGAATGGATGGAGTCTTAAAAATGAAATGTTCAACATTTCAACGTAGGTTTTGGAAGTAACAAACTAAAACGGAAGAGACAAAAGTCGAAAAGAATGTCTTCTCAGGGCGGGGAAAAATGGCTTTCATAATTTCATCTACTTTGCATTAATTTATCTAACCGTTCGTCCATCTCGGGTCCACCCACCCACCCATCCATCCATTCTTCCCTCCATCAATCAGCTATCCATCCGTCGCGTACCAGTTCATCTATCATCAAAATTGTTTGTCCATCCATCCCGTAGCCATGCATTGATCCACACAGCCAATATCCGTCCGTCCATTCCGTATTCACCCATCCATTTGGCCATCCTTCAATCTATACATCTACCCCTCCATCTATCAAGCCATCTATCCATCTGTCCATCGACGCGCCATTCGCCACCGGTATGAAGTCCTATGTTCGTCCACCAGGCAGTTTCTCGCCCTGCTAGAGCACTCGCAGCCCCCCTCTCCCCGACCGCTACGGCGCACCCTTATTCTGACCCTCCGGAAATAAAATGTGTCAAACCCCATGGTTCGTTTTACCTTCAAAATGCCAAATAATCATTGAAATACCATTTTAGTGTGCAATTATGGGTGTTTTTTTGGCTTGACTTCTCACTACAATTCAGTCGGTCAGTCAGCAAATAATCTAACTTGTACGTGAAAGAAGCGAAGCACCAATTGACAGTCTCTTCAGTTTATTGCCTGTCATCCCGTGCTAATGCAGACTGAATGAGTAGCATGCATTTGCCCAGTGGTCTACATCACCGCCTTGCCCATCCACTTAATGTAGACACAAAGATTTTCCGCATCAATCAAGCCAAACATAGGGGTAATTGGCCTCTGACAGATTCACACCCATCTACCACACGCTAGTCGATGGCAGCATGTGCTTGACCGTGATCAAGCGTGACGAGTCTGTCAGAATGTGCCGCATCGCATCGAACTTTGCGTGATTTTCCATCTCAGTCACACTTTAGCGGCACTTCCCGGCGGAGCGTTTTGTTGCCACATCTCCGCGAAATGCTGTTCCACGGAAATTGCACGATCAGCTTCTGCACCATTGCAGCCCACTTCAAGGCGGTTCGTGAGGCGGATAAATGGCAATCCAGTTGACTAGCTTCAACTGACATCGTGGGAAATGGAGATGTGCCGGATGTGGGCGAAACCCGTGAGAGAGAATACTTCACCAACAGGTTAATGCCAAATAAGTTCTCATATTCTTATTTGCTACACTTTATAAACTGAAAAAAAGAGACGAAGACCTACATCTGCTGCACACTGTTACCAACGGTAATCCGCTCCTCCATATCGGCGAGTGAGCGGACGTGCATAGGTGATTGGGGCAAGGCGCCATGCACCCAAGGTAGACCGAAGAGGGAGAGCAGGGTGTTGATCACTCCCACCACGAAGAGGTCCCAATGGTAGCTCGTCCCCTTCTTCAGCCTTTAAAGAGAGGAGGGAGTCTCATTAATTATATCCATTACCATACGTGGGACATTGTAACTGAACTTTACAAGTGGAAGTCAGGATTAAATCGAGTTTTCTTGGCTCGCCCCAACATGCATTTCATTTCTCATACGAAAAACTAAACCAATTAGAGACGAACGGGAAGGATTTGAGTCGGCTTGGTGAGGCAAGGATGCAAGCCTTTATGCGCGCCTTCCTCCGCTAATACAGTTATTCACTTATCCTAGCCTTTGGATAACATCTGGTAGGTTTCGGTATAGACAGATTTGCCTGTACTTAGGGCCCATCCGAGGACAGCCTGTCTTGGCGTCTCGGTGCCCGACAGACTCCAACCTTTAGAGCTCAAAAATGTTCGCGAACGGTTGTGGTCACCATTCCTAGAGGAGGAACACCCACTTGTTAAATTCACAAATATGCCTTCCACAAACTATGGAGGTGACCGCTTAGGCTGTTGCTAACACATGGACATACGGTTTGTCTAGAGCTACTGCTCCAGTTAATTGTCAATTCCATCCGCCAAATTGTGGCTCTGGTAGAAATCTACGAACCGGGTCTTGCGTCTACGGACACATAACACTTTGTTTATCATCACACACCATTGTTTTGAGGCATATGCTATCACTTTGTTGTCTGATCGGACTAACGCAGGCATGACGTGAGTAAAAGTACAATGATAGTAGCAACGTTACTGTGTGCGGTACTGCCACGGTGGGTGTGCCTCTATTTAATCGAAATGCCAAATATCAAAAACAAAACTGGAGAAGAAGTTTCATGCATTCAGCATTCGCTTGACGATAACCTTAGAGGTTAACCTACTTGTTAGAGGGTGAGTTGACGATGACACTGGCGATGTTTTGTTCCATGAAAAAGAGGAGGGAGAGAGGGAAGGAGAGCCCCATAGCGCCCAGAATGTTTAACCAATTGAGAGTGCGGAAGTCGATCACCTTCCACTCAAAGGTGTCCATGTCAACACTGTAAGGCTTTACTGTAGAGGAAAAACCAATACGGAGTGATTCAGCAGCATTGAAATTTTGGATGGGTGAGGTAACACTGTAACAGGTTAGCATAAACTTAAACCCCGTTCAGTTTACAGGATCTCAGTGTTCATCTGTGAGTTTACATTAATCATGCTTCTTCCAGACTCCTAATGTCTTAGAATGCCTTTAGGGTCAAAAAAAGAATTGCAATATCGTCGAAAACAAGCTGCAATTCCTGAAAGCATAAAATAGCTAATTGGCAACTACTTAGTCAACAGGTAGTTGAGGCGGCACTGTGACTGGACAGGCGTTGATGATTAATGCATTCGTGCATTCTTGGGGATGCTATTTACTGTGGTATTGCTAAGGAATTGTGCTATAACTTAGACATTTTCAGTAACTTTTTATTCGCTTCTCAGGTCGCTTGACATGTCGCCTTGTTCACTTTGCGCATACTAGTAGCTCCCCAGTCCGTATTCGAGTTTTAAAAAAACATGCTTTACGACATTTATGCTTCAAAAATCCTCATGCATATATGGTCGTAATTTATATCTGAACAAACATGGATCACATTTAAAAGTAAAAGAAAAAAAATTGTGCATTCATAATCAGAAGTCAAATCCGTTATAATCACTTTTGACTAATTCCCTTTTTCCATCCGCTTGCGTAAAACAGATCAAATGCACCGTGGAAGGACACTCTAGTGTATACGAGCTCGACCGGGCAAATTAAAAATACTTGACGACTTGAATACTTGAGATGGCAAGCTTAAACAGAATTTAAGCATTTTTATGATACGAAAAGGTAGTTCACTTACGTTCAACTTTCCTGAACAGGTAAGAACCAACGAAAGACATCACGAGCACGGCAGAAGGCAAGGCAAAGTCATGAATCAACTCCCTCTTTGTTTCAGTCAGGAAGGGCCTGCAACAACAATTGTTATGTACCCTCGCTGATGGTAAGAGAGCTGCGATTTTATAGCAGTTTTCATACAAAAACGTAAAACTTTTGGGATTTGCAAATGCAGCTGGCCAGACGTTGTAGGATTTTATGGCGACCACACATAAATTAGTTTTAATTTCTGGAACAAAATGCGGCGTTTCTTATAACGCAGTTCTAATAACAATTGTGCAAACTTACAGCACGGATAAAAATGCTCGAATTAATCCCAGCGAAATATACCTTTCCACAGACTGGTTCAACAAGGCACTTTTGATTAAAGGAATGCTGAGGTGCTTTGGACTTTCAAGTGTTCATCAAAGCAATTACCTATCAAAGAATCGACGCATTTCACCCTCGTGCCTGCAATCAAGTTGAATGTGCTATTATTCTGCGCTACTTGTCCCCGATCTAAGCATTTCTGGGTAAAACACATGCCCTGTAAATTAAAAATTACATAAGCTAGAGCCCTCAGTTGATGGGATGCTAATTGGTAGAATTTTCTGTTTTAGATGATCTGCAAAGACTAAAAAAATCGTTTATCCAAACAGATCATGGTTGGATTGCGGTTTGATTGAAAGCATTATAATAGTTCCATCGAAATGATCGAAAAGTCGTGTCTTACATCAATGTTTTTTCACTTTTTTCTCATACTTGACGATAAAGTCGCATCGTTTATAATGCATTAAAATATGGAAATGTCGGGAGTGTCTTCTTATTAACTCTCAACCAAGACCGAGAAAAACTTAGAATTTCCGCATCAAGCAATTTGTCAAGCGATTTAAATTTTGGTCTAGATGTCTTTGGCTCATAAATGGACGTACATTCCCGCTAGAAACACTGAAAAGCCGACAATAATATTTAAATTAATATTGGGGAACACAAGTCTGATTTATTCTGGAGGCATTGAAGAGTCAGAGAGTCATGCGGTGGTCCCCAATAGTTTGATCGTTGACTTGACTTAGGATCACAATGCAAAAGCAACTCCTCCCAAAAATTTGGTGAATCATTAGGTTAGTCGGTAAACAACTTGGACTCCACGAAGGGTTTTATAACTCACGTGAAAGAAATGAAACACTAATTAGTATTCTCTTCAGTTTATTGCCTGTCATCCTGTGCTAATGCAGACCGAATGGATGGCACACATTCGCCCAGTGGTGCCCACCACTGCCTTACCCATTCACTTGACGTAGACACGAAAAATCTGCCTCACCATTCAAGTCAAACATTAAAGTAATTGGCCTCTGACAGGTTTACACCCATTTACCCCACGCGAATAGGGCGGGAATGTGACGCGTCGCATCAGACTTTGCGTGATTTACCACCTCAGTGGTGCGTTTTGTCTTCACTCCCTCGGTTAATTCTGTGCAACACAAATCACGCGACCAGCTTCTATACCATTGCTACCCACTTCAAGGCGGCTCGCAAGGTGGATGTACAACAATCCGATCGACTAGATACAGCTGACATTGTACGAAATTGAGATGTGCTGATAAGGAAAGGCAAGCCATTTTAGCTAGCTATGCCTTCCTGAAACTTACGTTTTGGTGAAATTGAGCATGGAAATGCATATCCAGTAGGTGCAGGCGAGTAAGAAGAGGTATAGGATGGCAACCTCGGGTTTACAGACGCCCATCGGCTTGGTAGCGTTTCGGCTATCGTTGAGGCTGCTCACAAGGGTGGTCGGAGTGGTGACGAGGGCAGGGTGGAAGTTGAGCAAGCTTATGTTGGCATCGTCAACCGCACTACTGGTAACAGCGTCACTCCGACACTGCCCAGCAGAGATGCAGTCGAAGTAGTACGTCCTGAACTCTAAGTAAGAAGACAAAACCCACTTATATGGAGGCTAAGTTATCCCTTGAGACGTTTTAGGACAGTGGTATGTGAAAAGCATCGTCTCTCGAGGCTCCCCTTGAGGGAGCAACCGGGTGGAAAAGTTCAATGCCCTGATACTTCCCCACCTTTTGTAATTATGTAAATCGCATATTTTTAGTACACTCATATCTTTAAGCCGCCTTTATGGCTACAAATCATCACTGACGACAATAGTTTAAGAGACTCCTGGAAACACAAATTTCCGACACACCACATACCAGAGATGCCTTTTACTAGCGCGCCTGTTACTGCTCTGTTGCAAGCATTTTTTAGAATTCTTCCAGCGCACTGAAAAATGTACTAATCATTAACAGAAGGAGTAATTTTAAGCCTCCCAAATGGCAAATCATGGCAGGACTAGCAGAGGAGCTACTCTGTCCAACTGGCGCATAGTCCTTAAAAATAGCTCAAAGCGGAGCGCCACCTGGGAAACCTTGTTAGCTGGTATCTCTTCTCTTTACTTCTTTAAAGAGAGGCTACGAAAAGGGAGGATTGTGACCGCTCTAAGCGATATGAGATAAGAGGAGGTTTGAGACCAAAATAGGTAAAAAGAGATTAGTCAGGGCAAATTAAAAGGCTCGGGTTACAGTCTTGAGTCACTTTTTGTTAATTGTTTCGACCTAGAGCTAGCTCGTGTTTACATGCGCGCACAAACACACACACCAGTCTATTTATTAGGCCCAGAAAAAAGCAGAACTACTGCGCCTTCTAACCTTGAAGGCATAGCTTCCTTCTCTAGTGCGAAATTAGGTACAAACACGGGGACAGGAAGTACCGCATAGTCAGTATTTTGTAAGTGTGCGTGTGTGTGTGTGTGTGTGTGCACATTCCGTTCTTCGTAGGCACAATGCTAGCCTTGCGCCAGTGGGGAATGCATATATCCCAAAAAGTGATTAAGCTCCGCCTTACCCTTTGCGGTATCCCGGTAGGCTTCAACGAGAAAGGCGATTGAGACAAACATTGCAAATATCTCTTCTGTTGACCTAAAAAAGTGAAATGACGCAACAAGGTGAACGAAGGAGTTTTATCATCAATGTTAATGAGTAGCTGCCTGACCTACGAATTGGAATGCAACAGTAAAAAGTTTTCAGTTTTACTTGTTATTCTATGAGGGCGCCCCAGGGGATTACAGATGCATGAAAGCATTACAAGGCTTTCTCATGGCATTTCTACACCCAACAAACACCTTGACTGGAATTTCAATACTGATTTACTAATATGGCCAGACTATAAAAAAATCTAGTATCCTCATGTCGGCGTTTGACCATTTAAATCAGCAAAGAGAACAGCCTAAGTGATGACTCTAGTTTTGATAGCCAAATGCTGATTGCTAAAAGATAAGGCGGCAAAAGTGAAAGACAATGTATCACATTTTGCCTAACACAGACGCTTCTAAATTGACGGAAAAAAGGGACACCCATCAGGGCCGTTAAAATATTCGTGTAGCCAGGTAAGTTGCTGTTTCTATTTTAACTGAAACACTCATCTACATTTGTCTCATCTTGATATCAAATTGACGTTAGTTCCGCCAGATATCCTTCTGACACCTAAATAACGACCCACATCCGTAACGGCTACTCTGTTCGCCGAGGCAACAAAGGAAAATTTGAATTGGCAATCCTTAAGCACGAGGACAATAGGAAATTTTTCAATTCAGATAAAGATCAGAACATGAAAGACAACAGAGTCTTCTCACCCATTTTCCCGTAAGAAGTTACAAAAATTCATTTGAAAAGTGCGAATCAGGAATGAAAAAGACCTTGGTCCCTATTCGCAGTCGAAAACTGACCTTTGAAAACTAGTAACTCTAGTTGATTTAATGCCATTTTCATAGAATATATGAGATGAATTCCTTTTGAAATTTAGAATTTTGATTTAATTGCAGAACTTTCAAACTTCTGCCAAAATCCGGCTAATTTCTCCCCTAATTTTAGGATTTACAAATGTCTTGTATGCGCGTGCCGAAAAACTGGCTGGGGTGTGAATTCAGAGACCAGACGCTGTACTTGGCAGTACAGAGTGGCAGAAAGAGATTAAATAAACTGCATTTTCTGCCTTTAGAAAGGGTGTGATGAAGAATAAGTGAAGACATCTTGAAGGAAATTGAAGACATCACGCAACATCAGTGCCTGAAAGAGGTTAATTTTAATTCAAAATAAGACGGCGAAATTCCACCTAATACATTTTCCCAAGCATTGTGAAAAAAAAACTGCCTAAACAGATACAAAGAACAAAGTGTCTCCAGAAGTGGTAAGAATTTAGGGATTTTGCTGCCTAATTTGCAGCGATTCCTAGCAAAAGAGGGCTCTTAAACCGAGCGAGGCTAAATTTTAACAAATCCAAACTGGTCGTAAATTAGTGTGATTACGGTGATGCAGTAACATTAAAGTACATGGACTTAATAGCATGGGTTTTAAAAGTGGCCGAGGTTAACCTAGAGAGGGATCTGGGATGCATTAAACCGTGTTAGATAAAAAAAACCGAGAAAGTAAAAATTGGCTTCCACTCTCGAGTGAGGATACTCTCAAAAGGCGGAACATGGTCACTGTGGGGTAGTATTTAAGCTATGACATCACTACCTTGATTACTCCTCTCCTAAGTTGGATCACCTACCAGATGAGCACCACCATCCCCTTCCCCTATTATTGAACTACTAAATACCAACTTCTTGTACTTTCGCATTTGACTGACCTCCACATAAAAACTTGTAATGAACGTAACGAAGGGGTTATCATGGAGACAGTCAAAACGAAGCTCGAAACAAAGCTGATTTGTTTGGCTACGTACACCTCTCAACCTCCAGCTATTTGGTCTTCATTACTGGCGACAAGGGACTCTGATTTCGTCATTTGAGCTAAGCTAACAGTCCTTTTTAATACTTACAATAATCCAGCCTTCGGAATTGTATAATTTATAGCCCGAGTGTCGTTTAGTCAACTCCTTTATCATCCTCCTCAGCACGCTGCTAACAGGAATTGATGGAACTGCGTGATAAGGCCAAGCTTCGGCGATTTTACCCTGGCCTACCTAATGCCTGAGCCCATAGTTTGAAAGAGCTCATTCAACTTAACCACCTTTGTGCAGTCGTCAAAAGATGCCAGACAAAGCAGAGGAACGTTGCAAAATTCCGCGAACTTGCCTTGTTGACCATCGCATTATCCGACTGGCATCAAGGGCCGCGTAAATGAAGAGAAATCCGGCATTGAATAGACCCACACAGCCAAAAAACGCATAAAACTCCAAGTTATAGGACTCCGTTACCATGTAGATTACTGAAAACAACAGAAAAAAGTGTGCATGAAGTGAACAGCTTTGGGTGAGTTTAAAGGCGAATGAAGCGGCATAGAGGCACCACTTTATTGTCATGGCGTTTCTTAAATTCCGTTTCGCTTAATCACATAGTAGTTCTTCTGTTCTATTTAGTCTCATACATTCTACTAGGTTTGTGGGAAGGAAGTAGTGGCTTCATCGATGATGACTTTCAGCAGCCTTAGCTTAAATAAGCAAAGATCCTGATTTCGGCGGCGGGATACCACGCCTAGAGGCAACAGAAGGCAGGCATCTGCCGTAGACGGGTGCATTGGAGGCATGCTAATGAAACCGCGTCAACAATTAGTAAGCTCTTCACCCTTGGGTTTTACGAATTGCCCGTTAGCCAGACTGGCGGGATTTGGCAACTGCTGACAATATTTAGAGAAAAATGTCCGAATCCACTAATGCAGATTATCCCCTGCCCTCTCCCCCTAATTCACCACATTCCATGGACCTAGGTAGAACGCGGATAGATAACTAGGTAGTATTAAAATGGAATTAAATTGGCAAGGAGACGAGAATACTGCTGAGCAATAGGTCCTTTCAACCCCGGCACATACTACTTAAATGAATGGCATGTAAATGAGTAGCAAGTGTTTCTGAGCAAAGAGGGGACTGAAATGCGCTAGCTACAGGGCATCGATTCACGTTTCATGCCTCGAAAACGACTGGGGTCTGCGATGCGATCATGTGTCTCCCCGCCTTGATTGAAATGCAGCGTAAGATCCGCTTTTCTGCCTTATGGGTGACTTTTAAGCTACCAACAACACCGTGCGCGCCAGAAACGCCCCTTCAAGAGAAGAAGAGCTGCGTAGAAGAACAAGACTTGTATTAACTAAAACTTAGCTATGCGGTCTCTTCAATTTTTGTGGGATTAGATATTATTTCATTGCCCCTTAAACATCCTACAGCATGCCCTGGAGGGACCCAAAGTCCGTAACTTGTTACTATAGACAAGAATAAAGCGGTACTTACGCTTTACGTAGATAGCAATGGGCGCAGTGGTGAGAAGGACTGTTAGAGGCTGTCCTCCAGTTAGGCCGAAACAGAGACCTCCTATCGTTTGCGATAACAGTATCCGGAAGACACCTAAAAAGAGCATCATTTTCCAAATCGAGGCACTTGAACGGCGCACCAACTAGCAGTTTGGCCTTTTGGGCCGTTTTATCTCTAATCCTGTCCAAATAAAATTCCTGGTCAATTTTTCCTACAAAGCCTAATAATATGTTCAGAATTGTCCTTAGAGAAGTCTCCAAGTGCCTTTGATCGCAGATGGGTTTCAGTGGGGACCACTGAATCGCCCGTCTTTAAAGCGCTCCCCTCCACCCAGCGGAAGACCCATTCCACACCCTAGAGAGTTTGACATTTGGTGCGTTGAAAGTGGCGGGAGCATTTTTCATGCTATCTTCAAGCTCCATAAATTATTGTCAAGTTTTAAAAATCCTTTTCATTGTTCTGTCCTGACTCTGAAACATCGCCGCGCTTGTATTTCGCCGCGATTGGCGCAACGCGGCGATTCGCTTTTACCTTCCTTTTGTGGAGAAAAACAAACACTAACATGGAAATGTAGGAACGATGTTGGTGGTAAAGGCAGTCTTCGGCCTGAATAAACACGTTCTGCTGATTCGCAAACTACTTTGCAGTCCGTGCTCGACATAGACTTGGACGTGCACGGGCAGGTCATCATCGGGTCAGTGGCCTTTCTATCCCAGCCTTATACTTTAACGTGTTCAAACGCATACTGAATAATTGACATGCACTTATGAGTGAGTTAAATTACAGCTTGAGCTGTGAATTCCAAACAACTTGACTTTTTGATGACCGTAAGTTTTATGGCATACCAAAGGAGTGATATACCTCATCACTACATTATTAATCTAGAATTTGAGGGCATTCAGTGCACTTTGGCAGCTTCAAGGAGTTTTAGATACAAATGTCAGCTAATCGTTGGCATTATTGCCATGCTAATGACGTGGCAATCGTTCACATTGTTGGCCCTATCTATAAAAAATGGGTTGATCATGCCTTAGACCTCGCAGAACAGTGAGACGCACCAATCTTTCCGCAAGTGTTATTGTAGTTGAGCACACCGAATGCGATGGAGGGTAGGAGACAGGCGAAGTAGAGGAAGAAGACGGAGGAAGTCACTTTGCGTGCGGTGTGGTTGCCTCGTACACCTAAAGCACATTACAAAGAGCAGCACATAGGACACGTTTCAACAGGCTGCGTTGCAGAAGTAACCACTCCCCCCAGAAAGCGAGCCCGCAACACCCCTTTCACCATTCAATTAGCTGACCAGAACCCAGGTACATAGATATGGCTGGACAGCAATGAAGTGAAAGACAAGTGGCAAAGAAGAGTAGACACGAAACCTTATCTCCACATAACTACATTAGACATCATCCTTTCCCAAGTGACTCTACTCTCAGGCTGGTGTTCTTATGGCTAGCGATGAACACACGAGATGGCCAGCAAGTTTTTCCTTCCCTCATTGTAGTTTTCAAACAGGGCGGAACTCCAGATCCAGTGGAATTGCTAAGTTAGCTCAGTGACGTTGCGGTCAGACAGCTTCTCGGTGGCACTCAAAAGGGATGACTGGCCTGGGTGGTTCGTGGACGTTATTCTTATATTGTCGGCTGTATTGTGATGGCCGACGCAGGAAGTTGAGCAAGAGGAGTGGCAGTGAACACGATCAAATGTAAAGAAGAGCCATATGAGGCTTTACTTGTATGCTCATTTCGATTTCTCGGGCACTTCGGGGACCTACAATGTAATTCCGCTGAGTAGCATGGCGTTCTGGCCATATTATCAGCCTCTCAGCCCTTCTGCAAGTCAATTATTCTTTTTTTGTCCCAGGATTATGCATTTTTTAGCCTTCAGGCAAGACATGGGGCGTCAGTGAATGCCGTTATTGACTGCAACCTTAAAAAACCTCATTTGAGAAGCTTACACACCACTGGAATGGTGCATATTTCGGACTGGAAAAGAGTAAGCAAAGATTACAAATTAACTTGAAAATAATGAAGTAACAAATGGCTGCGATGCCAAAGTCGACGATTTGGTTGGTTGGAGGCATGCATAAGTAGTGTTATAGAAGCAAGAAGGACAGACTTGCTTAGGTTTTGTCATGGTTTACTGGTTGGCACTGGGGTAGACCTTATTAATTTATACGAGGTGCGCTCCAAACACACTTCTCGTGTATATTTTAATGCCAACAATGATTCTGAGCGACGGCAATGGTTATAAATTTTCTGAGAAATTCAGCTCTGAGCAAAATGGCTGGTCATTTTATTATCCACTTTGATCATGGTTTATTTTTGATGGAAAAATATGCTTGAAGTAGCGCCTCCCATTGCTGGATGATTTGATTTAAGAGCAATTTTACTGGGCCTCTCGGTTTGATTATTCATTCGTCTAAAACTGTGACCGTAAGCCATCTTGCATGAAGAATTAAGTACTTGCAGCCTCCCCCTCTGGGAGCCGACTTGAGTCCCACTGCGACTCAATTTGGCGCCGAGGTCGTTTTTATTTTGTTAAATAGGTGGTAAAACAACTCCATCCTTCACAATATGCTCATGAATGAATACGTCAAATACAATTCACAAGAATGGGTTAGAATTCCTAATTAATGAAACTTAACCTGACAGAATTTAGTGATAAGACTTTTCGTTTCCACTTTACTTGAGTTCTTTCCAATCATATACTCATTCGTGTCTCCAAAAGTCAGAACAATATATAGAAGGCAGAGGAATGCATAGTTTTTCCATTGTAAACTAACAAATGTTTCAGTCAGCAGCACTTGTGTCTTGTGAATATTTCATGTTTAAGAATGGTTCACCTGCTAATGTAGTAAAAGCAGTTGTTTTTCTTTTTAGTATTTTTTAGCCTGAGGAACCTGCAGCAGTTCTTTATAATGCAAGTAAACACATTTATCATTCTGATTTTAAGGAGAAATTGACTGCCACAGCTCCGACATCTTATTGCTTTACCATAATCACGCTGCTCATTACGACAAAAGGAATTATCTTCAGGAAAAGGCGCACTCTGCATCTATTTTATGGTTTTAAACTGAACTAATTTGTTTGTAGCACGTAATTTAGCCGGCTTATAAATGCCCAACGTGAGGTCGTATGTTTAAAGCATAATACTTCCCTCCGAAACAGAGTCGGTTGTACATACGGTTGGAAGTAAATGGGTGAAGAGGTAAGAGTTCAACTTCCTCGATCATCAGTGGTGCGCACACGGAGTCGGCTTAACTAAGATGCAGTTCTTAGCGAACACTTTTACCAACCCCAGGAACAACGATGACTTGGAGAGCGTTGGAGGCCACAGACATGCAATGTCTGTTCCAACGACCTGCCTACAGCAAAGGGGTACAGCAGCACCCTTACCATCAATAAAGTCGGAGGGGTACAAGGGCAGTCGCCTCCGCAGATCAGCAATGAGGCCGCTCATTACTTGGCACCGTGGTCTCTAGGGTAACATAAAAAGCAACTACTTCAGATAAACAAATAAATAATGTAGGGGTTTTCCCTCATGGCCGTAAGGTAAAAATGAATTTAATCCATGCCAAAAGAATAGTCTTTTTTCCTAAGAGGGGAGGATAGCTTGCGGACTTAGCACAACCTTGTGTTTTAAGTCCAGTTCCATGACCGGGGGTCCACGATCAGGCTAGCAATTCACATACTGGTTTAATGTTCAGAGAAATGACTCCCTAGGAAGTGAACTTTGAGCTTCCACTTTTGGGACCGTCGCTGGCGAATAGACACACAGTCTGCCGTCTTAAAAAGTACTCACCATTCATTCCGTCATATCATCGGCCAAACTTTGGTTCAGGTGTTATTCAAGTCCTCATTCACATGATTCTCCATTTCTCACTAAACCCCATTGCTGCCTGACACCTTAATCAATGGCGTCTGGACTGGAGTAAAGTAGGTATGACATATGTGCCGAGAAGTAACACCAGTGGCAGACACATTGTTCGACTAGCTCTTCTCCTGAACCACACATTCCTTGGCAGAGGTAGTGGGGCTCCTTATACTAGGCTGATATTCAGGAACCACTCACAACGGGTATGGGTTTGGTGCAAAAATTATTCGTTTTTCATTATGATAGAGCTGCCAACTCACTGGTTCCAAACAACCGTCAATGAAATCGTCAATCCTATCCGGACCATGTCGCAACTGCTCGTGCTCCTCCTCCAGTTCGTGCGCCCGAGCACAAAGAAGAGACTTCACCTCCTCTTCGTCCTGTGCGTATATTAACTGGCGCCGAAACTCGAGGTCTGAGAGAATAGTGGCGAAGGTACGGCCCAACTCTATCTCACTCTTTGTCCTTTTCTACAAAGATGCCGTAAAACCAGTTATGGTCTAGTGATTGTGTCGAGGGAATAGTGCTTCTGCATTGCTGCTTTCTCTCGCTCTAAAAGGTTGCAATCACGGATCATTTGCATAATAGTTTGATCTCTGTGAAGTGGAGTAATACCAATTGCCAGAGGCTCTCTCAAAACGTGAAAAGGTCTACCTGGACGCAGTGCAAAGTCTAGCAGGGGAAAAACAAGCCTCCAAGGTACTTGGCAATTTATTAGAAGGGCAGGAGAACCTTTAAGCACCATTAGCATACCTCCTTTTGTGGACTGATGACAAGGAGGATGATCTGAGTACCCTCGTTTGAACGGCCTAGGTTAACTGGGTAGGCGAGCCTAGCTAGGGCCAGATAGCGCTTCTGAATGTTCTTCAAACTGCATCTAAAATATCCAAGGCCAAGTGAGTATGAGAGAGAAGCGAAAATTAGATCCAAAAGTTTTAACATCGAGTTGTCCCCACCCCTGCACGCCTGAGGCTCATCAAGTGATAAAAGGCTAACGCTGCCACAGGAAAGGGTGGTAGTTTTTCACAAATGTAAAGTTACTACTACCACACATAAGTGAGAGGGGCACAAAAGAAGACAGAAGTTGTTGCTTCGGTAGAACTTACAAAGCACAGATCCAGCTCTGATCCATTGTCATACCCTCATTCTCCTGAAAGGACACCGACTTTATTGTCTTACTTAGCCGCCTATCTAAAAAGAAGATAACGAAGCGATTTTTTGGTCGGAAATCAACTGTCAAATCTTATTTTGTTTGGCCAAAATGATTCCGCCTAATAATTCATTAAAGACTTGGCTTCAGTTGCCATATCTTTTTCTCCCAGACCAACGAATCAATTAGAAAAAGCACACAAAAAACTAATGAGGCGTTTTGATTGTGAGTCCTTTTGCATGGAAAATCGTGGCCAATACCGCATTTAAGCTTGAATAGTTGCAAAAATGTTTTCGCGAGTTTTGTGCTCAAAAGGTGTATCAAACAACTGTGTGGCTAAATGAAGTTGTGTTAATGCAAGCACATTAAATTTTCTTTTTTTTTTTTAGTTTTCAAGCCGCTCACTCTCAATTACAGCAAAATGAAAGCCGTAATTAAAATGTTGTCTTCCGTTTAATTTATTTTCCCTTAAGTTCTTCTACAAGGGGAATTTTTGTGTGGTACACATCCACACCCTCCCACCCACCGCCAGGCTGACTCCCGTACTAAGTGATTAGTCGCGATATTCACGATAAGCATTTTCGGCTTTGTCATTTAGTGCTTCCAAAAACCCACACTGAAGGAATTAAGCAGGAATGCCAAACATTTTGGGAGGGTAACGTTCACCACATAAACAACTTACCAAATTTTAATTTTCATTGTTTAATTTTTATTTTGAGCAAAAATAGGTAAAGAACGGTATTTATCCTTATAAGCAATGTCTGTTTGTACAAAGAATTTCATATTTAAGAGAGGGCTCCTTGCATGTTTTGAGGCACCAGAAAAAGGATGTTTTTTAGTTGGCAATAGTTTTAAAAAAAAAAACAGTTTTGTTGTTGAAACAACTTTGCCTCGGGCTATTGTTTAAATAGTTCCATTTTTAAGGCAATGTCTGAGTGTCTTCAGGGGCTGGCCGAGCAAAAGGGTTCAGCATTTGAGTGCCAGTAAGCATTACCGACGTTGAAACTAACAAAGTGGTTGTTGAATAAGCATTTCTAGTGACTACAAAACTTTCAACAGTGAAAGAAATATACCATCACCTCATTTTAAACTGCGTTCAATGAAAGTGGCATTTGTCCTACTCATAGACTGGGATTTTTTAATATCCTCTTTGTGTCCGAGTGTAACAGTTATATGTCTACATAAAAATGACATTATTTAAAGCTCGTTATTATCTTACATGAGGCGGGACTATGAAAGTGCGCAAATGCTCACAAAATTGCTATTTAAGTCAAACTGAACTTCCACGCTCTTTGCTTGTTTTCGTTAGATAAAATTCCGTCGTTTGTAATCTTCTGAAGGTTAAAACTCCTACATATCCTTTAAAGGCAGTGTTTAAAGTAAGTCATGGTAGAATTCGCTAAATCATTTTGCAATACTCTGGATTGGAACAATTTTAAAACGCGGTCTGTCTCAGCCTTGTTCAGATAGACCACTAACAGTGCAGTGTTTTGTCTTATATAGTCAAAGGTATTGCATTTATCTCTTTCAACAAATTTTTAATTATTCCAAATTTCGACCAAACAATCGGAAATTTGAGGGATGATATGTATCTAGGAGTAAAACACTACCTAGCACGAACACTAAGGCTTCCGGTCTCGGCGATCGAATGCTGTCAATCAACGTTGGGCTTGTTACAACACCCTTACATGATTCCATAAACAGGTTACGGGGACGGTGATCCAATCTCGTGTACTATGAGCTGCCTTTAATGGATGGCCTTGGAAGGATATGCGATCCGTTAACTGGATGGTATTAGGCAAATACTTCGGTCCTTCAATATATGCGAATGTGGATGCAAATGTCGATTACTTTGTCAATCCTGCAGAATTTAAATTAAAGTTTTACTATCTTAAAATCAAAATACACTTAAAGATGGCTGTTAAAAATATTACGGAGTTAGTTTATATATTGCTTTAGTCCCCACAGAGTTGTGGATATTTGAGAAAGTAAAGGCTAAGCCTTTAGCAAGTTTAATTTTGCGCAAATGTTGACAATATTGCTCACAATATCCAAAGTTTAGAAATCATAAACCAAAAAAAATGCCTTTTATTAAAGCAGATATTCTAGCTTGTCGCGGAAGAAGACCGTAAGGTAATTTGTAGCATACCATTATCACCGAACCATTATCTGTTGCACAAAATTCTTCCCCACCTTAATATAACTAAAATATTAGCCTAACATGTTCCAGGTGCAAAAACTTTCACCGAGTACCTATTAGAACCTCTATTTCAAACGTACAATTTTCCATAGTTTTTTAATATAAATGTCTTAAAATTAGCTTTAGACACGGTCGAGGAATTGAAAACGACTCAGACATTCCTTTAGAATGGTCCATTTCAGTAGGGCAAAAAGCTGTAGAAAGTGACAAATGCGGGCATTTTTGATCAAAACATTATTTCAAATCCGTGTCTGAATCAGAAAATCGCTGTTATTTGCACAGCCTCGGACGGCTTAAAATGGGCAGACGAGACAAAGACGATGGCATGTTTCCGTTTTTAGGTAGGCAAAAAATGTGAACCGATAGAAAGTACCCACTTGGACTTAATCGATTATGCTTATAAAGACCATTTGCCAATCCAGACGATGCTTTACTAAGCCTAGTATTTGTCCCAAACGTGATATGTAGGGTACTCAGGAGATCTGGGTTTTAAAAAACTACCGAACTGCTTTACCCGGGGAATCAATCAAATTCAGTCAACCAAACAAACAATAGATTATGCTTGAATTCTATAGTCCCATTAGACTATGTGATGAATCTGCTTTCGAATTCGTCAGACTTTAATAGCCCAAAGACCTAATACTGCTCCTAGGTAATTTAAACAAAATGAGGCTGTAAAGCTGATAAATCAACTGGTCAAACGATCATTTATTCATTTGTCTATAAAAGTTTCAAAGTAAACTTTACTACTGGTAAACGAATCATTTTCTAAGTTAAAATTTGTTCATTCAGTCCATAATCGGTGAAATAAAATACCTTTGAATAGATTTAATAGCCATATTCTTTTTTTGAAACTTAATTAAGTAGAAGGATGGTTTTGTGTCCTCCTCTTTGATAACTTACAGGCGAGATCATTGTGTCGAATTTCTAGCAACAGGGCTTTCTTCGCCTCCTCAATAAGCTCCTCCCTACTCAACGTGGACATCTTTGCAGTCGTAGCAAAAAGACCGCTTCCACCGGTCATGTGCATGTGTGATCGGCCATGCACGTGTCCACCGCTATTGTTGATGCTGCTGGCATTTGTGACATTGTGGCTCTCCTCGCATTCCAGAGTCGAGCCATGGGGAGAGTGGTTGGGTGTGAGAAAGTGACGATGTATTCCACTGCCACCAGTGGGAGTGGTGGCTGCGTGGTTGACATGACCGGGCGTCTCGTTGAAAACAGCTTCCAACATGTCATGAATTATTTCCTCGATGGAGGAGGCCTCCAGGTCAAGCAGGAGAGTTGCACCCTTAATGAACATCTTGATATCCATGTTAGCTCGCACCTCGGCGGAGAAATCCTTAAGGGGGAGGTTCTATGCAAGCAATACATTAGACTCAATCACAATCCAAGTTACACAAACTTTGGTAAACTTGTTATCGAATTTCCCGCATTTTTGCCCCAGACTTCAACTATAATAAGAGCGCAAAAGCGCCTTTTTTTGTCGACACTCCTTTTGCAAAGGGAGAAATACCTTTGATGTGCAGGAACTTAGGCGAATCGGGCTCTTTGCTGAACTTCGCTCTGATTTTTTTACACAAAGTTTTTTAATTAGTCACTTGAAAATTACAGTTTGAAACCAAGTAAATTATTCGAGGTCCGATAGCACCATTTTTTTTCACTAAACCGGTGCTGTTCCTCCCTATTAAAAGTGGTCATAAAATAAATGTGATTCAACTGCAGAACAATGCCATTTGCATGCCGAACGGACAGATTATCCTCCTCATGTAAATGTGAGACAGTGGAGAAGGTCATGTAAAACGTGTTTTCCCTTTACTGGTGTCCTAAAGACACCCAAAGCAAAGAGGGTTAGGATTTTTTTTCTGTCTTTTTGATTCATGAACCTCCGTCACTAAATTCTAATCGCTCCCTGCTTACATTTTGGCCTAATGCGTACTAAAGGTTGCTGTTGTTCTTGCCTCCTTTTGGTTTTTTTTCCCGGGGAAAAAGGCATATCTCTGTCTGCCAAATTGCTTTCCACCACGGCATAAATGTTGATTTATGACCATTTCAGTGGAGTTTATGGCCTGCCAAACTCGGGTAGTTTGGGAGTTGCAGGAATTTTTGGAGAAGCATTAACAAAAAACAGGGAATTTCAACTTTCCCACTCACCTGCAGCTGCGAGAGCACGAGGCAGGAGGGATGACAAGCTGTTAAAATTGAGGAAAAAAAGTTTAGTCAATATTTGTTTGCAAAAAAACAATCACTTAAGTAGAAATTTGTACTAGGGGCTGTGAATTCGGCAAGAACTGTTTGGTTGGTAGCTCAGTTAGGAGGGTTGACAGGGCACAGGGAGCCGGATTCCGTGCACTTTATGATGAAAACACAACGAGAATTTACATAGTAATGTAAAAATCGCATAAAATTGGCATTAAAAATTTAACAGAAGTTTGTAATGGGCAGTTAGATAGTGGCCGTGGGAGGCTTTCAAACCTCGACCTCGGAAGGCGCACCAGATTAAGCACTCGATAGCCAATCAGATTAACCTTCAATGCTATCTGGGAATAAATTCCTCCCTTCATTCTTTAAAATAGGCACTTCAAATGCCATCACCTTGATTTTAAGGTGGAAATTCGAGTTGTAAGCCTGCATAGAATCTTTCTCCTCACTCCGCTTAAGCGATATCGCGTGAAGATTTTCCCGAGGTACCTCACTGCAAAAAAGCGGAGATTCGTGGGCTCTAAATCATTTGCCTAAGCTCTTTCAAAACGGTATCAGCAAAGTTCATCAAAGCAATGAACTGATCACCTTTAAAACCTGATTTTATTTCCCGAAGCCGTTGTGTAATTGGCTGGATTATTAGGGGTTTGAAAAACATAAGGGAGGGGAGGAGGAGGGTGGCCGCAGCTCATCCGTTCGATAGTTTTCTTCAAAAACGCATGTGGTGGGCGCCACCAAAATGCCCACCTCTCTGGTGCGCTTCCCGCCCTTCATGATCGTCGTCGTTGCCGTCGTGACGGCCTTGAGGAGGGAAATGTCTATGCAGTAGGCTATCTTCAGCCGAAAAGACATTTATTTTACTGGAGAAGCACGAGGAGGAGGTGGAGGAAACAAAATCAACCTACTCATTCATATAACTGGGATGCGACCAAAAATGTAACATTTCCACCATCTCTGCGAGTGTAAAAAACCGGCCAAGTAGGGGAGCTTTTGTAACGACCCCTATACTGCATTTACTCGGCAAGTTTGGTTGCCATGACATTGGTGAAGTTACAGGAGGTGTCACCCATGTAAAATGTCGTTTATAAATAGCCCTAGAATAACGTGATCTTGGGCCTGTTTAGCTTGTCGACTTGCAATGGCGGCCAATTACAAAGCAGGCTTCCCAGGTCTTGAGGGATGGAAATGCTTAAAAACAAAAGGCCCCTCAAAGAAAAAGCGATCACAATTCTGTCCCCAAACTCCAAGTAAAATGTCAAAAGTTTTGACTCGGGCTAAAATTGCAAGCCGCCCGTTCAGCCTACAAAGGAGGCGACTCGAATATGAGGCAGTTAACGGGAGTAAAAGTGATATGAAAGGTTGAGGTTCATTGCCATGGCAGGTAAAAACGTAGCAATTATATCCTAAAAAGACTACCCAAGATGGGCCAAGTTTACGATTTGACTAATAAGCCAAGAGACGGGAGGTGATCTGGCGACATTTCAGCCTCACTCCTACTTAAATCACTTTGTCAGTAGCGTTTTCGGATATGACCCTTACTTGATACATGGGACACCAGAAGGACAATAATGCGGCCCCAGCTTGTAGCCATCATCTTGGCATCATGGGTCGCGTTTTTGACGACTTAACTACCAGCCCACCGGCCTCTCCCGCATTTATACCGAAGAGAGGCCTCAAGCGAGGCCCGTCTGTGTCTCTTGGGTCTCCTTCCAACCCCCCCCCCCCTTCCCAAGGCCAAAAGCATACTTTATCGTAAAATCTAGTCACAAATAACCATTCTCCCACTTTTCGAATATATCTCAGGGCAGAAACGGGAGGAAGGGTCGAAGTAACCACATGGAAATAGAGGGTTGTCCACAAGCGATACCGCCTGAGGGTTTAAAAGTCACTTCCACAGGAAACTAAATTGCTAAGTAAAGTATTTTAAAATTGCCACTTTATGAGGGGCATTAGGTTTCACAAAATTACTGTCATCATGAATTTTATGGTGGCGACTTAATGACGTAAGTCCACATTTACAACCTCCCAAGGAAATGAAGTTGGCGCTGCGACTAAAATAACATTTCTAAAATATTTTCTGCAAATTTTTGCGCCAACTATAGCCAACTTGACTGCACAATTTTCTCCTCCTTTTCCTTTTTTTTTCGTTTTCTCCTCCTATTCCAATATCTGCGTCCATCAGGCAGGAGAAATCAAGTGAAAGACAGGTTAATTTAAATTTTAACCAGAATTGATTCCAGGCCAGTTCAGAGGTATGACGTTTGTGTACACCTCGGAGAATTGCAATTAACTGGAGGAAAAACCATTAAATCCTTTTTTTTCATCTTCTTCTATGAAAAAAACCGCAGATACTGGAGGGGCGGGCCGACGCACCTCTTCGGTTTTGACGCGTCCTCCTGGCAATTAGAAGTGATTGAAGCAAACCAATTGAGCAGACACCGAGTAGGGAGGGTATTCTGAACCCTCACTAGCCTCACCCCAAAATGTAAAATAGGCGAGAGAATGGAAGTTTCCGGGCTCTTTCCCCTTATTTAAACCCCTGAATGGTTAATTACTCTGAGTTCTGAATAGCGGAAGCCGAAAGCATATGTTGTCTCCCTGGGTGATACAGACATCAATTTCCATGTGGAATGCACCGATACACATCACCACCAGCTTTTCGGTCTCCGTGGATTTAGGTCCTCTCCATTTATGACAGCGTTCTTTGCAGGCTCAGCCATCTGGTATCATCGACAGGAGGATCTCAGGCGCTGCACACAGACAGAGGTAAGGAAGAAGGTCATACCGAGCGTTTATTTGGTCAAAGTTTAGCTCAGAAGGGGATTTTAGTGAAAATCCACAGCTCTTTGAACTTTCTCCACGCTAGCGATAAACCGTCTGGCACACAGAACAGCCCGCACCGCTGTATTAGCGGCAGAAGGAGTCGCAGAAGACCGGCGTCCGATGTGGATAGCGTAATCTACAGAGACCCTCTGCAGAAACGCTTCTGAAGCCTCGTCAACTTGGAGCAAATATGGTGGTAGTTGGCATGACAGGGAAGCAGAAATTCGTACATTCTTGTATACCAAAGTAAAGTATATTTTAAATCTACTTCAAGTCCACGGTGGTTAACACTTTCATCCCCTAGATGGCGCAATTAGTCACGCCCACTACCCCAATTTTACCGCTAATTTATGACCTTCTGGTGCATTAGTAAATGAGTTCTTCGTACTTGGTAAAATTTACCTCCCATTGGTTCAATGACATTGGAGGAAGGATTAATTTCTTTGTGAAAAGAGTCATCCTCAATTTGAACGAGTAAATGTGGTGCCAACTCCGCAACCAGTCCCTTTAAGCAAAATTCTTATAGAAAAGATCCCCCTTAAGCCTTTTTAATCAGAAAGTTGGAGTAAGCACAGGCTTTAACTTGTGTTGAAGAGTTTTTTTTAGTTTCGGGAGGGAAGTAGGCTCGATCGAATGAACTAGCCAATCACCAGAAGACCCGAGAAGGTGGATTTGGAAATCCTCAGTATGTATGTGCTTTCACACCGGGTTTAAGCCAGCTACTTATTATTTCAGTCTTCAGTTAGCAAAAAATCATCCAAAATACCTTCGATCGGGAAAATTTTGAGTTAGATTTTTATTTTTCCGATGCTACTCATCCACAGCACAAATAAGTAGTATCTTGCTTCGTCGAGGAGTCGAGATGGCGTGAAGTTGACTCATCACCTTTTTCTGAACTATCACGCTATGGGCCAGCAAAAAGCTATTTTTTTAAGATGGCTTTTCAGTATGTGATTGCGATCGCCGTGGAAACACCTCGCCACCATCAGCCGCCATTTCATTGGTCAGTTAGACAATTAGCACTCGGACCATCAAACCAATCAAAATAGTTGTGACTTTTTGAAAAGAGAAAGCCAGAAAAAAGTTTAATCGTCTTCAAATCAAAGTCTTTTGGCTAAACGCAAGCAATCTGTTTGCGACACACGAGTTGCTGCAACCAGTTATCATACACCGGCGTGGGGCACCGCAAGTCACGTATTTGCGAGTCTGATGGCTAACACACTAATGGGCAAGTCAGGAGATAAATGACTAGTTAAATAATTAAGGTGGATAGTTTTGTTTATCGTGAACTCAAAACCATCATTAAAAAAAGGCGATTTTAAAGTAGTAAACCTCGCGCTGGTTCTGAACACATATGGTTAACTTACGGAGCAAAAGGGAAGCGACATCGTAGCGCAGTCAACCTCTGCATAGTTCTGGCACCTTTTCTTATTAAAAATCGCCATCCGGTCGGACTTTCTTTAAATAGTTGCAAGTAGAACCCAAAATAGGGCTGCAAGTTGGCATGCGTCTCTATCTAAACTCGCCAGTAACCATACACGAGGTATGTTTGACAACCTTGGCATTTAAATTTGCGTGCAGCCATTTTGAGAGGAAAAACGCAAATCTTAACAAATTTCTGCATGTATTTTAATGCTTTATTTTGGAGATTTCATTCGTTTGCTTATGCAAGATGCCAGTCTAAAACAGCTCCCCTTGCTCCGCCTCCTCCAGTAGCTTCAAGGGGATAGGTGCTAAAGAGAGGAGGTAAGGTTGCTAAGAATCATATCCTGCTAGATGGACTGTTTTGATGCTAAAAATGACGTCCACCGAATAAACATTGTTCTGCCACGTGAATAGCTCCTCCGAATGGTGCATACTTGGAAACACTACTACCTGAAAGGTCATAGCTTCCAGGGGGTCCGCACGTGACAATTGGAATGTTCATTTTGGCCCGGGTCTCTACGGTCTATAGAATGGTATGCGAAAATGTGGCTGCCCAGTGGCTTTATGAACCAATGCTATACTTTTCTCAAGTAACTGGTATGAGGCGTCATGAGTGGGAGCGCTACATTGGAGTGCCCTAAACAGAGCTCCTGACTTTGTTGGCTAGACTGCTACGCCCGGATGGCACAGAAGGAAGCTGCCAAAAGTGGGCGGCAAAATTGGCGGGAATGTACAGTGGAATGGCTACTGGCGCCAGATGCATGCTCAAAAATTTTCCTTAATCTCCACGCTTGCACAGGGGCCAGTATCCAAGCATGACCACCCTCGGACAAAATTTAAGAAAGGCCTTTACTGTGAGCACTTGCGGAAATGGCGCTCCTCCTCCTTATTTTGCCTTTCAGAAAGTGACCCTCTACAAACGATCGGCACACTGGAGATGTTAGGAGCAGAACTACGTCCACCAAAGCAGTTCCTTCTGTAGACGAGGCGGCATTCAACTATCCCGCTGGTGAGGTGATAGCATATCAATTCTCAATCAGACAAGCGATATCACAGTGAGCACCCACGCCGTTCCTCAAAAGAAGGAGAATTTCGCGGGGCAAGAGGTATTTGCTGCAGTTGTGTGTTTATCTACAAGGGCCCTTTATTCACCCCCTCCACTGCATGGAGTCACAAACGTGTCTGCGGTCAACCAACAGACTTGAAAATTCAAGCAAGAGGAAGCGCAAGTTGGGTCTAATTTTTTTGCTTAAAGCAAATTACAAAACGCAATATTTGTGCAAATGAGACGAGCTGCCTTCCTATTCGCCTGGCATGCGAAGGCATGTCAGGTATCTGTACATTCTACGCCCGGATGCCATTTTTCGGCAATAGCCTCTTCTGCCATAAAATAGACAAAATTCCTTCTTCGCCCTCGTCTGCTGTGCGTCTCAGTTGTTAAAAAAGGGGATTAAAGGGCCTATCTTAAGGTGGACCTGAATAACTAGGGGAAGTGACTTGACTAAGCACATCTAAATGCGCATATTTTTAATATTTTGTAGGAATTTAGCCCCCTTGCAGAGGCACACTTAATTGCATGATTGGCAGTTTCAATCAAGCCACTTCCTCCCTTACGTTTGCCTGCACGTAGGAAGGGAGGGCTGTGTTCACATTGGAGTTGCGTTGAGGCAAGTCATGCCTGCAAAAATGGTTAATTCGACCGAGACCTGAGTTAGCATTCCTCTAAATGTTAATTTGTGAAGGCGAACACCGGAGCGCGCACAAAACAGGCAGTGAGGCATGAATCTACCCCCTCAATATTCTTTTAGACAGCGTTGGTGATTACTCGGCCATTTAAACGTCAGGTTAATTTCAGTTACTTTTATGCCATGCAACCAGTGTACTTCGTGCAAATAAACCAAATCGGTGATTTTTCTTAAATTTTCCGGTTTTAAGAAAGAATGGAGACAATGAAGAGGGTCGAGTGCTTATTATTCAGGTTTTGAGTCCAGTCACTGAAATCGTTTCAAGAGCCATGGATGTACCTAGCAAGCGTTAACCGAAAGGCGTGAAAGCACAAGTTTGAAGTCCATTTTTAAGTAACGGCAATGGAGCACTTTAATAATTGAAGGGTTTCCCATTTGAATCAACTATGCACGAGTCTTGCACAAAATCCTGCAGAGGCTTTATTATTAACGAACAACTACTTATGTCAACTCAGGAGTTTAAAGCACTATTCATCGGAGCGGTAGGAAACACAGACGATTACCATCTTTAAAACGCATACCTGACACAAACTACGCCACAAATTTCCATCTCAA